TAGTGAGCCGAGATGGTGCCACTGTACTCCAGCTTGGGTGACAGAGTGACACTCTGCTTTAAAAAAAAAAAAGGGAAAAGAAAAATGCTAATGATGCAATTAAAAATGGGGAGTTGGCAAAGATCTTTTGGATATGTTTCCAAAAGCACAGATAACAAAAGCAAAAATCCAGGAATGGGATTGCAAAACTGAAAAGCATCTGTTCAGGAAAGGAAACAATCTACAGAGTGAATAGATGACCTAGGAATGGGAGAAAATACTTGAAAATCACACATCTGATAAGGGGTTACAACTCAAAATATGTAAGGAACTTGAACAACCCGACAGCACAAAAACAAGTCAATTAAAAATGGGTAAAGGTGCTGAACAGACATTTCTCAAAAGAAGACATTCAAATGGCCAAAAGGTGTATGAAAAGCTGCTCAGTGTCACAAATCATCAGAAAAATAAACAACAAAACCACAATGAACTATCACTTCACACTTCATAGGATTGCTATTAAAACAAAACAAAATCAATAGATAAATGTTGGTGAGATAATGAAGGAAAAAACATCCCTTTGTACACTGTTCGTGGCCAGGCAAATTGGTGTAGTCACTATGGAACACAGTACAAAGCTTCCTCAAAAAATTAAAACTAGAGCTATCACACAATTCAGTAATCCCAGATGACAAAAATGGCCCAAGCAGGCCACCAGGGAAACCTGGGCCCAGCGTGCATCAATGCAGAGCATCAAGCACAGCAGAACAGGTGTACAGTTGCCTATTCCTGTCCAGAGAGAACTGCATCCTTCACTCTATAAAATGGGGAAATGCAGAGAAGCAGATGTAACTGAAGAAGCCAGCTGGAGCAACAAGGAGGGACAACCACAGCCTGGGAGGGCAACATGCCAGAGACGCCTGGACCTCACGCTAGGCTCAGTGCCCGTTATACTCTTGGGACCCAGCGCTTTCCCTCTGCATCACTTGGCATACTTGACATTATTTGTTGCTTAAAATAATATCCTAGTATTCACCTTTCCTAGGAGACCTAGGCAGATCCTGTGACACTACAGCTTCGGCACACAGTAGGTGCATCACAAACATCTGCTGGGTTCACACACTCTTGCCTTCTCCAACCTTCTTGAGAAGTCTTCAGTGAAAAGGAATTGCTGATTGAGCAAGAATTAAACTTCTAGAGACTCCTGGATCTGCTGAAGTTTGAGACAAGGTAAGATTTGTTTACTGCCATATTCCTAGCTCATAGCACTTAATATGTAGTCAGTTAATAAATGTTTGTTGAATAAATGAGTCAAAGGAATCATTTACTTAGCTATATATTTTCTGAGTAAAATGATAAATTTAATAGTGTATTTCTGGTATAAGTTTACTTTACATATTCAACAAACCTAGCAATTCAACTAGGTGCCAGGCACACAGCTGCTGAAGAAAAGGACGTATAAAATACAATTTCTGTCTACAGGAAAGCCACAGTCTAAAAAGTAGAAACGTGAACAAATTATAAAAATCAGAGAGGTTTGTTGCTATTTTAAACAGCTCCAGTCAGGAATTGTTAAAATAGAAAGTTCTGAACAGGAAATGTTCCAACACACCACCTAAGCATGAAGCAGAAGCCACCCGTAGTTGAGTTTGCTACCGCCAACCCCAACAGCAAGAATTCCAATCCTGCTGCTACAAAATAAGTGTCGTTCTAATTTTATTACTGCTGTGTAACCCAGTTTTAGACTCTTTTGATTGCCACTTAATGTTCTAAAGTTAGAAGTATTAAAGAGAAAATATTATTATGGTGTTGAGCCCATTCACTGCAGCCATCTCAACATCACACCAATTAGAAAGCCTATTATTTAAAAAGAAAACTTTTAGTTTAACTTATTTATCCAAATATCAGTGTTACATAAACATATTTGCCATCAGCCTTTGGATTTATGGGTTAAATAGTATATAAATATGATTAGAACCTTAAAGTTTACACTTTTCTGGTTCTCTCAATTTTTTTTTCAAAATAGTATATGCCTTTCTAAACAATTATTAGCATAGTTTTTAAACTGAACATTAAAATGTATATTTTCCAAAAACAAAATACAGCTCCCATTGGTAGATGGTGTTGTTGAGATACAACAGACAACTTCTCTTGGGAACCATTTAATCGGTCCTCAATTTTACACTCTGTCCAGAAATGTCAATGACTTTAAAATATAGAAGTGTATTACACAACTAAACTTATACTTATTCAGTATTGTGCAATATTTAGTACTCGTTCTAGCTATAGTAAGAGTATAGCTAGAATAGTAAGCTATACTAGCTATCTCTTGCTGAATAGTAAGCCATTCCAAAACGTAAGGCATTATTTATTGTTTAATATGTGTTTATGATTATTATTTGTTTAGTAATTTTAAATGACATTATTTCTCATGGTTCTGTGGGTTGACGGGCGCTATAAAAGCTCTCTTCTGCAGTTCTCTTTCTTGCAGTTGCGGTTGGTTGGCTGCTGCTGAACTCACCTGAAAGCTCAACTAGGCTATTCTCTAATTCTGCCTTGGTCTCTCTGGGGACCAGCCCACATACTCAAGCTACAAAGGGGCTGCCAGCCACCAGTCAACTCATTAGTGTACAAAAATACACTTATTACTTTGGAAATTCCTAGGATTTTAAGAGTCTACATACGAGGAGACAGGACAAAGACCAAATATATATTTTGCAATATCACAACAATAAAAGTAAATTATTTTTTAAAAGGAGAAAGCAAACTAATTGAAATGGATAAATATACTTTTTATATTCTTAGAATGGAGTTTTGTACAGCAGTGAAAACAAAAGAAATCAAAGTTACGCATCTACATGTAAATATCAAAAAAAGAACTTTAATTAAAAGGAGGACGCAAAATAAAAATACAGAAATAGCAGCCGAGCATGGTGGCTCATGACTGTAATCCTAGCCCTTTGGGAGGCTAAAGCAGGAGGATTGCTTGAGCGCAGGAGTTCAAGACCAGACCGGGCAACATAGTGAAACTCCGTCTCTACAAAAACAAAAAAGATAGCCAGGAGCAGGCTAATAGTCCCAGCTACTAGGGAGGCTAAGGCAGGGAGAATGAACCCAGGAGGCGGAGGTTGGGGTCAGCCACTGCACTCCAGCCTGGGCAACAGAGTGAGACTCCGTCTCAAAAAAATGAAAAAAAAAGTACACAGGCAAGCCAGTATTACAATAAATCAATCATACCCTATTTCAACTAAGCCTTCATTTTTGCTCCCAAATCCACCTCTCTGTCCTCAGTTAGCTGTCAATCTCACTTTGCAAAATGAGTATGGAATGCCTTTGCCATTTTCTTTAAATCCTGACCTACACTCTCTATGTAGAGAACGCTCTCTCTACAGTTCTCTAAATAAGAACTATTGACCTTGTCACCAAAACACCGCGCCCGGCCTTACTTTATTATTTCATAGTGATCATCACAAGTAGAAATAAATCAATCATTGCTTTATGATTTGTTACATTTTTCCCCTCCCTTCTGCATTGGAAGTTCTATTAAGGTAAAGTCTTGTTTGGTCCTTTCTTTTATCTTTCTTTCTTTCTCTTTTTTTTTCTTTGAGACGGAGTTTCATTCTTGTTGCCCAGGCTGGAGTACAATGGCATGATCTCGGCTCACCGCAACCTCCGCCTACTGGGTTCAAGTGATTCTCCTGCCTCAGCCTCCCTGGTAACTGGGATAACAGGAATGCACCACCACGCCCGGCTAATTTTATATTTTTAGTAGAGACGGGGTTTTTCCATGTTGGCCAGGCTGGTCTCGAACTCCTGACCTCAGATGATCCGCCCACCTCGGCCTCCCAAAGTGCTGGGATTACAGGCATGAGCCACCATGGCTGGCTTGCTTGGTCCTTTCTATGTCATTGTGTTTCCAGGAAATTCAGACTGTGGCACGGGACATGGCATGAATCATGAGATTAAAAATATTTGTCGAATTAATGAATCGAACCGTGGGCAGGATTTGTAGAGATCTTCTAGACTGGCTGAATAAAATAAAATGTAAAAGTGATTTAAGAGACCGGCACAGAGACTCATCCCTGTAATCCCAGCACTTTGGGAGACAGAGGTAGATGGATCATGAGGTCAGGAGTTCAAGACCTGCCTGACCAACAGGGTGAAACCCCATCTCTACTAAAAATACAGAAATTAGCTGGGTATGGTGGTACATGCCTGTATTCCCAGCTACTCAGGAGGCTGAGGCAGGAGAATCGCTTGAACCTGGGAGGCGGAGGTTGCAGTGAGCAGAAATTGCGCCATTGCACTCCAGCCTGGGCGACAGAGTGAGACTCTGTCTTAAGAAAAAAAAAAGTGATTTAAGCATTTTAGTGACAGCCTCTGACTCTCAGGACTCACAGTAGCACAGAATACTGAGGATCTTCCCCTCCCTCCCTCCCTCCCTCCCTTCCTTCCTTCCTTCCCACAATTTCATTAAACAAAAAACACTAAAACATCTAAGGTCTTGTAGATGAATATTTGGCACTTCAAAAATCCGTACTTTTTTCTTGTCATTAGAAGACAATGTAGGTCAACAAACATTTTAAATGTCTTTTTTTTGTGTGTGATGCTATTTAATAAGCACCAATGGCACCCACCAGGTTTTAGGTCCACAAGGCCAGTCTACTGATAGTACTTAAAAGATGCAGGTCTTTCTATATATAAGGTTATATAAACAAAAGAGAAATCTTATTGTAGAATGTGAAAGTAATGTGTGTGTAATCACCATCCACTGGAATTCAATCGGATTTTCCTAACAAGATGTTAGAAAGTGTCTAGGACAAAACTGACCTCAAAATGGTTTGGGGGAGGCAATTTATCTTCTGACCAGTTGCTGGCGAGGAACCCTCAAAAAGCTGTTGTTTTGTGGCTTACGGAATTCAATGCAGTTCTGACAAGGAGCTTCAGGTTTAAAGGTCTGACTCTACCATTCGCTTAACCCCGAATTTAATCCACTGCATGTTCTGTGCAATTTTCCTCACCTAATAAAGGAACTTCCTTTTGCTCGTATTCCATAGATACCACATTTCCTTCTCATGACCTTTCTAACAGCTTCTTTGAAGTCTTTGTTCCTCAAGCTGTAGATAACTGGGTTCAGCAGTGGTGTGACCACAGTGTAGAAGACAGAAATGATCTTGTTGACTTCAGGCAACAGGTGGGGATTGGGGTGCACATACATGGAGATCATGGTCCCGTAGTAGATAGTGACAACAGCCAGGTGGGAGCCACATGTGGAAAATGTCTTTCTCCGGCCAGAGGTGGAAGGGATTCTCAATACGGAGGACATGATGAAAACATAGGACCCCAGTGTCAGAAAAAAACAAATGCACAGCACGGCAATTGACAGGATGAAGATGGTCACCTCGGTGATATAAACACTGGAACAGGAGAGCTGCATGAGTGGGGGGAGGTCACAGAAGAAATGGTTAATCTCATTGGGCCCACAGAAGTCCAACCTGGAAATCATCAGGGAAGGCAGAAAGCCTGTGCCAATCCCTGTCCACCAGGAGACCGCCACCAACCTGGTGCAGAGCTCACGATGCATGAGGAAAGGGTAGTGGAGCGGGCTGCAGATGGCCAGGTAACGGTCATAGGCCATCACGGCCAGGAAAAAGCACTCGGTAGCGCTGAGGAACACAAAGAAGCAGAGCTGTGCCATGCAGGCAGAGAAGGAGATGGCTTGGCCCCAGGACAGCAGGTTGGCTAGGAGAAGGGGCACAGTGGTGGATGTGTACCAGACCTCCAGAAAGGAGAGATGCTGGAGGAACATGTACATAGGGGAGTGCAGTCGCTGGTCCTGGCTCACCACAGTAACGATGATGACATTCCCTGTAATGGTCAGGCAGTAGATGAGCAGGAAAATGACAAAGAGCAGAGTCTGCCATTCAAGAAGGTTCTGGAATCCTAACAGCTGAAAGTTAGTCACAGTGGAGGTATTTTGGGGCTCCATTGCCTGTGGGGGATGAAAAACATTTTGGAAAAGCACAGGATGCAAGGCGCAAATGTATCACTATTGATGTTTGGCACTTCAGAGATTAATTTTTAAATAGTTTAGAGCTGTATGCACAGCTTTTTAGAAGGATAAGTGCATAATTCCACATCTCTTTTCTAAGAACACATTTTGAAATCTTAAGCTGAATGTGAATGTTAGATCTTGTAAGGAGACTCAGCAAGTTTCATTTATCTGGGTTCTCTGAAATCGTGAAGTCTCCTATCCAAAGACAGGCAAAAAAGGACTCTGATTAGTAGACCTTCAGTGTTCTCACCATACAAAAAAGAAAACCTGAGGCGGTGACTATGTTACTTGGATTGATTGTGATGATTATTTCACAATGAATACCTCCATCAGAACAACACTGTACACTTTAAATATATAGTATACAATAATATTTATCGACTACACCTCAATAAAGCTGGACAAAAACTCAAAAAACTGACAATAACAACAAAACTTAAAAAAAAAAAAATCCTGCAGGGCCGGGCGCAGTGGCTCACACCTGTAATCTCAGCACTTTGGAAGGCCGAGGCGGGCATATCGCAAGGTCAAGAGTTCGAGACTGGCCTAACCAACATAGTGAAACCCTGTCTCTACTAAAAGTACAAAAATTAGGTAGGCATAGTGGCACGTGCCTGTAATCCCAGCTACTTGGGAGGCTGGGGCAGGAGAATCATTTGAACCCGGGAGGTGGAGGTTGCAGTGAGCCAAGATCACGCCACTGCACTCCAGCCTGGGCGACAGGGCGAGACTCCGTCTCAAAAAAAAAAAAAAAAAAGTCTTGCACATACGGAAGCAAATGCCTTTCCCTTGTCATATGTGGGCTTTGTCTGAAAAAGAAGCCAGACACAGCACGTCTCCTACACCATCTTGGGAAAGTGTAATATTCTACCCTCAAACAATATTTATTGGTCCCTGCTGTGTATGTGTGTGTGCGCGCGTGTGTGTGTGTGTGTGTGTGTAAAGGCCTGTGCTGAACTAATCTGTCTCACTCCACTGGTGTCCTTTCTTGCCTTACCCGACACCATACTCATGCCCAACCACTATCATTGCATCCTCGTGTACACCTTCTTTTCTTTCATTTAATTTCCTATCTATAGTTCTGGATAAAGTAAACATCCACCTGCCATACAGGAGCTTCTGTGAAGTTGAGGGAGTGAGACATAGCACAGAATAGAACCTCTGTAAAATGTACAACCAACACACTCAGTGTGCCCTTACTGCTGCAGAGCAATCATTCTATATTTCCCTTACACACCAAAAAAAAATTCTAAACCCCACAACTGACCGAGCGGACTCCTCCTTTCTGCCAAGGGGATTTCAAAGAAACCTAAAAAATCTGGTTCAAGCCATGATGGGAAGAAGGGGTTGGACAAACCTCATCACACTCTCCTTTCTTCAGAATTCAGGCACAACTGAGCAGCGATAACATCAAAAAAGAGATTTTAAGGCCGATGAAACAGACTCTATAGCAATAAGGTACCAGATTCGAACCTGACTCTAGTATAGCATCATGACAGACAGCCGACCCCGAAAGAAATGGAAATATTTTACCACAACACATATGTATTTGCCATATTTAAAATGGCCCTGCAAAGCTGTCTCTTGTGGGGGAAATCTACATTCTGCGGAGAACCCCTTTCCCTCTCCAGGCCTTTGGTCTGATCCTCAAGAGATGAGCTGAAAGTCTAGCAGCTTTTAAAAGTCTCAATAGAACATTTTTGCCATCTGCTGCTTCTCAGGCTGGCAACATATGAGACTTCATCTACATCGTAAGAACCCTGGTTTCCCCAACCGCCTTATCTTAATCCAGATTCTCCTTCTATTGATTCCAGGTCTTTAGACGATAACTTAATTCTTTCAACCAGTTGCCAATCAGAAAGTCTTTGCATCCACGTATGACCTGTAACCTTCTCCCATTCTTGGAGTTGTCCTGCCTTTCCAGACCAAACCAATGCATAGCTCACACGTACTGATTGATGTCTTATGTCACCCTAAAATGGGTAAAGTCAAGCTGTAACACAACCACCTTAAGCACATATTCTCAGGACCTCCTGAGACTGTCACAGATCATGGTCCTTAAATTTGGCTCGGAATAAACCTCTTCAAATATTTGTTACAGACTTTGGCTTTTTATCAATACCCGTATCTATTCACTCTTCCAATCTCTTAAGTGACTGTTTCACTTATGCTGCTCTCTTTTCAAAGGTCTAGCACATCCTTGTTGCTCTGTACCCTCAGTAAGATACTTATTTCACTGGAAAATCCTGAAATCCTTCAATGGAAATATCCACAAGCGCAGGCCACTAAATTCTGCCACCGACTCCCTTTTGTTCCTGTGCATCGACGCCTCACACTTCCTCTGAGTAAACTTTCTGCGTCCGAGTCAAAGGCAAATCCCTCCACCTGGGCATCAGGCGCCATAACCTCCTACACACTGGAAAGGTATTGCAGGTGAAGGAGACAAAACGATTCCTCTCCAAAAGACTCAGGAGTGTTGAGCTGAAGAAGATGAACACACAGGGGACCTGCCCCTCCCTCTGCTTTCCTGAAGGCAGGACCAAGATGTACAAAGACAAAGGACTTCCTGCCTCCCCTCTGCCTCTTCCCGCCTGAAGATTCTTGCTTATCAGTTCAGACAGCAACACCAGGGATCTCGGAACAGACTACTCTTCCTGTAAATGTTCCTTCCCAAATGTCTTGCGTTTTGGAAGCCTGAAGATGCCGTTTTGTTTTTTCACTGTAGAGAATGTATGGCTTTGCTAAGACACTATTTCAGCAAGGCCTCAAAGCCCCTGCTCCCAAAGCGTTGCAGCAATCTAGGTGAGCCGTTTCCCTGAGAGAGCTGCTTTCTTTCTTGTGATGGGCGTGGCACGCAGAAATAATCACGCTTGTTTTTCTCTTGGTGATCTGTGTTTTGCTCATGAAAATCTGTCCCAGCAGTGAATTTATGAAAGTCGAGAAGAGAAATTCTTTTTTTTCTCTCCTTCATGGGTATTCTCAGCTTCATGCCTGAATCACCCATGGTGCCCTTTCTGCCAAAGCATTTCCTCGACATGCCAATGGGCTGGATTGCTCAAAACAGAGAATAGGCCTAGAGGCTTTGCTGTTCTCCGAATACTACCTGCACTTCTCTGCTCCCTTTTCCTGATGCTTTCCCTTCCGGAGGGCACTGCCCCTCCCCGCTGCTCCTCGTCCTCCGCCTCCTTGCTCACTGGAATGCACTATGATCTGGATGTTTCTCTTGCCACTGCCCCAGAATGGCATTGCCCTGCAGCCACCCATCGCATTCCCAATCCTCTTCATCTGTGGCATCATCGCACTGTTGATCCCTCCCTCTTCCTGGATCCACTGGTCACTTAATATCCACAGCTACATACTCTCTTAGATCAGCGACAGCCCTGGTTTTTCACACTTGTACAGGGCTTCATGTCTCTCAATCTACCTTCATTTCCTTCACAGTTTCAGGCAGTCTCTTGACCTGAATACTGTCACTTTGCTCTCAGCCCTCAAATTTATGTCTCGAGCTTGAACACAAGCCTCCTGTAAACAACTGCCCTATGTGAAATGCTCACTCATGTCTTGTCAGCATTTGCAATGTAACGAGACCTGACTTAGCTGACCAGCACTCCTGACTACCCCAGCCTCCCCCAGTGCAGCCTTCCTGTCTCCATCCTCCCACTTGCTCAGACCAGAAACTCTGAATTTGACTCTTGTTCCTTTCAAACCCAATGTCCAATTTTTCAGCAAAATTGACTAGCTCCACCTGAAAATGTATCCAGAACTGATCTGATCACCCTTCACGACCACCATCGCTTGCTCCCTGGAAAAGGCACCACTATCTCTCATCTAGATTGTTGCAATCATTTCCTTAAAGCACCTCCACGTCCAGCCTGCCCCACTCAAGAAAGCCGTCAAAGAGAACATTTTAAAACACGGGAGAGTTTTCACAGGGAACAGAGATGTACTGTGAATTGTTCCTGAAAAGGAAGAAAATATTGTGGCCAGATAATCCACATATTCACCTCTGCAGTTTCCACTTCGTCAGAATCGACGTTCTGTTGACTTGCTGTTTCTGTTCTTCATGTCTGTTGTAGTTCACTATTTCTGCTGTGTTCTATGTTCTCCTCTCATCCTTGGCCAACGTTACTGGGAATATTATTTTCATGTAGCCAGGAAATAATTATATCAAGAGAAAATGATATCTTAACATTATTGCACATGCTACAAAGAGTATAATACTGAATGTGTCATATATATTGAACTATATAGTACTTGATTTCTTCAATAAAGCTTAAGAAACAAAAACAACAAACAAACAAACAAAAACAAAGCCTTGACAGGTTACCCAGCCCTGCTTGTTCTCTCCTCCCACAGCCTCACCAAACTCTTAGTCTACTTTCTTCTTGGTCCGTTCCTCACCCAGCGCTCCCGCCTCCTTAGTATTCTTCAAGTTACCTGAAACTTGCCTCATTTTCTCCTTAGCATGTTTAGTTCCCTGCAATGTTGTCCTTCAACAGCTTTGTATGGCTCATTTCTCATGTCCTTCCAGTCTACTCAGATAACACCTTCTTCTTTAGGCCTGATCTAAATACTCTTCTGCCATTCTCAGAATGTATAACAGAGTCAAGATAAAAGTGTTAGGTGTATGTTGGTTTGAAGGCAAAATATTACAGCAGTTCCAGCTTGAAAACACTGAATGAAAACTAAGAGATATGAGAAAATTGTTATTTGATCCACATAAATTGATTTATTCATATAGATTGATTTATTCACATAGATTATTTATTCAGCCAGGCACGGTGGCTCACGCCTGTAAACCCAGCACTTTGGGAGGCCAAGGCAGGTGGATCACTTGAGGTCAGGAGTTCAAGACCGGCCTGGTCAAAATGGCGAAAGCCCATCTCTACTAAAAATACCAAATTTAGTCGGGCATGGTAGGGGGCACCTGTAGTCCCAGCTACTCAGGAGGCTAAGGCAGGAGAATCACTTGAACACGGGAGGTGGAGGTTCCAATGGGTCGAGATCGCACCACTGCACTCCAGCCTGGGTGATACAGCAAGACTCCATTTCAAACAATAATAATAAATACTCTTGGTAAAACAACAATGCTATCTTGGAAAATGGTTCCTTTTTGCCTTGGCTTTCACTTAGTATTTTATGAGAATATGACCATGGTGTTCAATTTAAAATGAACGTCCACAGAAAAATAAGGTAAACATGGAGAGCAATGAGGATCTCCTTAGGGAGACCACAGTGAAACCAAAACAGCCCTTTGTTACAATAGACTAAGTTTACAGGACACTGGGCTCAGTTCCTAGTTTTCTAAAGTACCTCCCACAATTCATATCCAAATGCACAAGGAAACTGAGCTGTTGTGTAATCACCGCTTCATGGTTAAATACTTTCAGTAATGAAGAGCTCACCACCTTTTGAAATACTGATTTTTTTTTTAAAGAGACAAAGCCTTGCTTGGTTGCCCCAGCTGGAAGGCAGTGGCACAATCATAGCTCACTATAATTGAAAACTTCTAGGCTCAAGTGTCCTCCCACTGGAGTGGTTAGGACCACAGGTGTGTGCCACCATGCCTGGTTAATTTTATATACATATATATGTGGTTTTTTGTTTTTTTTTTTGGTAGAGGTAGAGGTCGTGCTATATTGCCCAGGCTGGCCCTTAACTCCTGGCTCAAGTGATCCTCCTGCCTTGGCCTCCCAAAGTGCTGGGATTACAGGTGCTCTGGGCCTGATTATTTAAATACTGGCTATTTCCAAGTGCTAGAATTGCTTTAATTACATTGAGCTGGAAAAAAAAAAAATCTGCCTCCCAATAGACTGGGTTGGCTTTAGCACTAGGGCAACAAGGGTAACCTCAGATTTAACTTTGTAGCTTTCTTTGAAATAAAAATAATCATGAATGTTGTTGTTGGGGGTAGTGGCTCATGCCTGTAATCTCAGCCCTTTGGGAGGCCGAAGAGGGTGAATCACCTGAGGTCAGGAGTTTGAGACCATCCTGGCCAACATGGTGAAACCCCGTCTCTACTAAAAATACAAAAATTAGCCAGGCATGGTGGTGGATGCCTGTAATCTCAGCAATTGGGGAGGCTGAGGCAGGAGAATCACTTGAACCCAGGAGGCAGAGGTTGCAGTGAGCCGAGATCATGCCATTGCACTTCAGCCTGGGCAACAGAGCAAGACTCTGTCTCAAAAAAAAAAAAAAAAGGAATGTTGTTGTTCTTAGTTGCAATCTTGCCCAGAGTAAACTAAATGGCCTTTTGACTTCTCGAGAACTCTTGATTACTTGTCTGTTATTACAGTTTTATAATTTAGGCAAGATCATTTACTGTTTCCATAAAGATAGAGAATCCGCAAAGGCTAAAATTGCCTTGATAATGACAAATAATTTATTGAAGTCGATGTATTTTTAGGATCCAACATACACAACCAAAACAAGAACATTTATGTTATTTGACAGTAAAATACACACCATGTTGATTTTCTTCTTCTCTGCATGCACGCCCCCTACCTGTTTTCCCAGCATCCAGAGCGCTAAACGGCCCCTGCTCTAGGCAGTGTCTACCGTGCCCTCCTGTGACCCAAATTCACACTATGCTTTCATTGTGAGATCTGAAATTTGCCATCTTCTGCCGACGTCTGACACTGGGTAAAGCCAACTTCTCCTTTCAATAACCTTGGGTTTCTTGGGGACCTGGCCCTTCTGAGAATCTTGTTCCCCAGGTATTATTCTATAATTTGACAATCAAGTCAGAAAACAATCAAATCACCCTTTTGAGATTCGACTCTGCCCACTGAGGCTTGGATGTTGATAAAATACTCGAAACACATGCAATTCTTACATTCTTTTTGAAACGGATTTTTTTTTAACTTAAGATAGGCCCCAAAAATGTTGAACTAAAATCTGAATCAAACAAATGGAGATTTCTCTAAAATCCAGCAAGCAGACAGTGAGTGAGTGAGCCGTCCTGACTGAAAGCATAACCAGTGCTTTTTGCTGAATGGCATTTCCTCTTCATACCTTAATTACAGATGTGGCTAAATGGAAAAAATTATGACTGCAAATTAATTAATTCATTCAACTAAAGCAATCTGTAGCAAAGCTCATTCTAAGTTTAAATCTGTCAATTTAACAAAGAAAATGCAATATATAAATTGATCCGAGAGGCTATTAGCTTGAGTTTTAGAAAATAAGTTAAAAAAGAAAATATTTTCTTTTGAGATGAAGTCTCGCTCTGTCACCTAGGCTGGAATACAGTGGCACGATCTCGGCTCACTGCAACCTCTGCCTCCTGGGTTCAAGCAATTCTCCTACCTCAGCCTCCCAAGTAGCTGGGATTAGAGGCATGAACTACTATGCCCAGTTAATTTTTTTGTATTTTTAGTAGAGACGGGGTTTCTCCATATTGGCCAGGCTGGTCTCGAACTCCTGACCTTGTGATCCTCCCGCCTCAGCCTCTCAAAGTGCTGGGATTACAGGCATGAGCCACCAGGCCCGGCCTAAAAAAGAAAAGATTTTCAACCCATTCCTAATATAGCAGGATTTCTTTTTTAATTCCATTGTATAGAAGTCTAATTAAGAAGAGCAAATTTATTAATATTTCTAGTTAAATTTATATATTTTAGTCTAAGAGAAAATATTAAAGCATTGAATAAATAAACATATAAAAACAAAAAACACATATTTTGTTTGGTTCTTTTTGATTCATTTATTCAACAAATACCTACTATGTGCCTGGAGTTCATTCGGGCATTACGATACAACAGTGAATCATACCATGTTATAGTCTGATGGGGCAGGCTGACGGGATTTATGATTTATTGATGTTTGATTTAACCAATATGCATTTTTCAAGATAAAATGATTCATATGTATAGTTTTTAGAAAAGTTGGAGGAGGAAAAAGACAGTACAGAAAAAAATATATCTTTTTAAATAGTCATAGAACTGTCTTTCAGAGTTAGGTATCTAATGTTTTGCCTTCCAAACTCTTTGTGTCCCACATATGGGGTAGAACAACTGGGTTACTACTTATATAGCCTGTATCTTGGTTTTCTTTGCAGCAAATTTTATATAGCCTGAATCTTGGCTATTTTGTAGCTACTTTTACAGTTAATTCCTACCATAGCTCTTTTCTCCTCCTGTTAAAGGGAAAAAAATGAATAAAGCGCCTTTTATAGATTGTATAACAGTCCATTGTTTGGGGTGGTCTTTTCATATCTTATCACAAATCTAGATCTTGTAATAGCTGCATGTTTGCAGAGACAGGCATGACCTAGCCAGCAAAAATTATGTATCCACTTTTTTTTTTTTTTTTTTTTTTGAGACGGAGTCTCTGTGGCCCAGTCTCGGCTCACTGCAACCTCCGCCTCCCAGGTTCAGGCAATTCTCCTGCCTCAGCCTCCTGAGTAGCTGGTATTACAGGCACCTGCCACAACGCCCGGCTTATTTTTGTAGTTTTAGTAGAGATGGGGTTTCACTATGTTGGCCAGGCTGGTCTCGAACTCCTAACCTCGTGATTGTCCATGTTGGCCTCCCAAAGTGCTGGGATTACAGGCGTGAGCCAAATAACAAAACTTCTGTACTCATCAGCAACAGCTGAGAAAATGGAGATAAAAGGGTGCTCAGGCCTGCAAAATCATCAAGGCTTACACTCGAGAGAGCACCAGGCAAAGGGTACCTGGGACATCAGCCATGTACACAACCATAACCAGAACATGTTAGGCCCTCAATGTTCAAGGACAATCTTAGGCAAGATGGTTGTTTTTAATTTAGAACCACTCTTTGGAATCAAATAATTGAATAAAACTGGTGAATTAATTGAAACAACCAGCCACAAAAGGTAAATAACCAATCTAGAAATCAACAATTATTCCTTCTCAGTCAGCCACATCTTAAAAGTTCTCATATAATTTGTTGTTATCTTCACAAACCTTCCGGCACCTCACTGGGGGAAAGTCCTCATTTCTGTATATCTCCGGGTAAAATACACAGTGGAAATAAGGAAACTTCAGAACAATTAGCCCTGCAGACAATTAAACAAAAAATATGTCCCCAAAGATTTGCGTTTGCTTTTCTTTCTTCCGTGTGGATTAATTGATTGGGGAGTCAAGGGTTTGGATGAGCATTTGTTGAGTGCGTATTAGATTCCAGACACTACATGTATAATGCTCCATGCAAGCCTTCTAAAAGGACCTTTTCACCGCAGAAGGCATAGGCAGAGAGACTTACATAACACACCAGGGTCAGAGGAAGGGTGCATTACAGCACTATTGTTTGAAGGCAGGTCTGTTTCAACTTCATTGTCTGATTTTCAGTTTAATGCACTGCTTTCAAGACAGTTATGGAAATTGCAGGGATTGTATTAGTGGAATCTAGTTGAAAGGGCATCTAAAGAAACATGTAAATACTAGTTATGGGAATGATGCAAAGTTTCTGGTTCTGCTAAGTAATTCAGGAGCTAGTAAGAGGGACAAATGAGGGAGAGACCTGATACATGAAGTGAAGAGAACTTCTACTGCTGAGTGGTAGACAAGGTCAGAGGGAGAGGAGTTGATAAGGAAAGCCGTTCTGCAAGGGTCCTGGGAGAGTGCTGGAGGTGTAGCCACTTGGATTGGTATTTCTTATCAGCATATTCTTCTAGGAAGATCTGCTTTTCAGACAAATTTTATTTTTAAAAATAATTTTTAAAAATGTACTTTTCAAAGACCCAACTTGGATCATATTACCTTCTTTATTTATATACTTTGAACAATGTGCTCATTTCTTTCAAAATTGAGGTTAACGTTTATAACTTTATTTATTTGGAGGGCTTCCCTCTTGCTGTTTCCACTATTAGGAACCACCCCCCTTCAAATGTCATCATAAATTTGTTCCTGCTTTTCTTCCTACCCTGCCATCAATTAATCAGATATACATATGCCTCTTATCTTTCTTTCAGTCGTATATAATGCAGGAGAAAATACTCTTTTATAACTCATGCATTTTGTCTTCTTGTGCTATGGCGTGTGTTTGTGGAAGATTCTGGAACTCACAGACATTCTTAGCACATGTCATGTAAGTATTAAGAGCCAATACATGTTTTTTGTATCAAACTGATATACACAATAGGATTTACACAAACGAATTTAACACAATATGAAACACTGGATCCATATTAGGCCATTCATTGCAGACTCATTGCGGAAGTCTGTATATCTGGAAAAATGCCGCAGTGCCTTTTCCCTCCTCATTTAACACAGAATAGAGACAGAAAGGGGGTGTTGAGGGATCACTTCAAACTCATTAGAGAGCTTTTGTGGGCCTTCCTTGGAGAAGCGGCTAGAGAGGCCTACTATGGGTGTTTGTGCATTTATCAGCTGGAACAATGTGATCTATGCAAATGCAGTTGGATCCGGGCTGCCTCCAAAGGCTATCAGAAAACCCCACAACTTGGCTGTCCCATTCCGGCCACCCCAGTCACCCTAGAGCATCGTTCGGACAGCCAAAGCCTCTAATTCATAGTAATCCACAGGATGTCAATGCTGGCAACCACTGGGAAGGAGAAAAGTAGGGTCTATATATCACATCCAGTGGTGATAATTGTGAGTGTCATTGATATCCATTGCCTACCAATAAAAACTACACTGTTTGGCGTAGCATACAAAATTAGCCCTGATCTCTTTCCCTGCATTGCCACCTGAGTGGGAGCCGCATCCAGCCACAAGTGGTTCAAAGACACGCTGTAGTCTGTCCTCCCCAGCTGGACTCTCCACGTGCTGCTTTCTCTGACCAAATTCCGTTAGAAGGACAGGCTGGCTGGGAATCCCAGGCCTCCTAAGGACTGAATTCAAATAGAAGTTTATCTGTGAACTTTCTCAGACCTCTGCCTCCCATGCTCACATGTGGTGTCTTCCTTCTGGTGTCTTCCTTGTACCCGTATGTGGTAAGACGGGTTCCCTCTGTGTTATCACTTCGTCCATGTGCCAGTTCCTCCCTACAGCAGGACACGAGCTCCAAGCTCCTCTTCATAGTTAGCTCTGTGTCTTCAGCCAATCCTTGGTGTCTGGCTCCTAAACGTGTCTACTGAACAAGTGAAGAGAGGCCTGTGACCAGTTTGCATAGTACAGCAGGAACATCATCCAACACTAGACCTAGAATGATAGATGGAATTTGCTCATTACATTTGCTCAAATCTCAGGTTTCTCATGTCTAAAATACAGATGGGGTTTATAATACTTCCTTCAGGGACAGATTACAAACCTCACATGGAATACTGCATTATTAATTGATTACAGAATCTATTCTGAGCCCTTATTCTGAGCAGGCTCAGACTGAAGGGGCTTTGGAATAAAATATTAAAAGAATACATTCTTAGGCTGGGCACAGTGGCTCACGCCTGTAATCCTACCACTTTGGGAGGCCGAGGCAGGTGGATCACCATCAGGGGCTCGAGACCAGCCCGGCCAACATGGAGAAACCCTGTCTCTACTGAAAATACAAAAATTAGCCAGGTGTGCTGGCATGCACCTGTAATCCCAGCTAGTCGGGAAGCTGAGGCAGGAGAATCACTTGAACCCTGGAGGCAGAGGTTACAGTGAGCCGAGACCCCACCATTGCACTCCAGCCTGGGTAACAAAACCAAAAACTCCATCTCAAAAAAAAACAGAGAGAAAAAAAATATATTCTTTTCCCCAAATCAGTCAAATTATGTAAAAAAAAAGTGTAAACCACTCTTTAAATATCCGTTATTATATTAATATAACTTCATTAAAATGCACACATGTTGCTTCCATCTCAGGTGCATGGAAAACAAACCAAGGACCAGATTTTATTTCTCTTTATCAATCTCCTGAAGACTACTTGGTTCACTCTCACTACCACTAGCCAGTAAGAGCTGTCTCTGCTTTAACCTTGCCCTCTGAATCCCTTCCATAAAAGCACAGAGGTGCACTGGATTCCAGCAGGCCTTACCGAGGTAAAAATGGAGGCTGTGCCCACAGAGAACATCACATAATCTTAGTTCAACTTTACTTCAATATAGTTTCTGGAAAAAAAGGAAACACAAAAAAATGCAGGGTATACCACCTCATTAGGATGGTTACTATTGAAAAAACAGAAAATAACAAGTGTTGGTGAGGATGTGGAGAAATCAGAACCCTTGTGCACTGTTGGTATATAAAATAGTACAGCCACTGTGGAAAATAGTATGGAGGTTCCTCAAGAAATGAGATATAGAATTACCTTGTGATTCAGCAATTCTACTTCTGGAGATATATTCAAAACAGGGTCTGGAAGAGATATACATGCATTCATGTTTATAGCTGCATTATTCATAATAACCAAAATATAGTAGCAACCCAAATGTCTATAGTGGAATGGATAAGCAAAATGTGGTATACTCATACAATGAAATTGTATTCAGCCTTAAAAATAGAGAACATTCTGCAATATGCTACAACATGAATGAATCTTGTGGACATTACGCTAAGTGAAATAAGTCAGTCACAGGAAGATAAATACTTACATGAGGTACTTAGAGTAGTCAGAATCACAGACACAGACCAGGGAACGGAGGGAGGAGGAAGTGGGAAGTTATTGTTTAATGGGCTTAGAGTTTCAGCTTTACAAGATGTCAAGGGTTCTGGAGGTGGCTGTACAACACTATGAGTGTATTAGGTACCACTGCATTGTACACTTAAAAATGGTTAAAGTAGTAACTTTTTTTGTTATGAGTATTTTACCGCAATTCAAGAAAATGGGAGAGGCTGGGCGGAGTGGCTCACACCTGTAATCCCAGCACTTTGGGAGGCTGAGGCGGACAGATCACCAGAGGTCAGGAGTTTGAGACTAGCCTGGCCAACATGGTGAAACCCCGTCTTTACTAAAAACATAAAATCAGCCAAGCGTGGTGGCATGCGCCTGTAATCCCAGCTACTCAGGAGGCTGAGGCAGGAGAATCGCTTGAACCCAGGAGGCAGAGGTTGCAGTGAGCTGAGGTCGTACCATTGCACTCCAGCCTGGGTGACAGAGTAAGACTCTGTCTAAAAAAAAAATAAAAAGGAGAAAAAAATGCGGGGTTCAGTTGCTTGAATGAGGTCCTTTTAAGGCCAGAAACAAGGAAGGAAATGCTGAGTCAGCGGATGCTAGTCTTGAGGGCTGTGCTTTTATTTTTGGCATTTGAATTTGCCAACCCAATAGTCCTATAGACAGATATATATATATCTGTCTATATATATATATATATAGATAGATAGATAGATAGATAGAGAGAGAGAGAGAGAGAGAGAGAGAGAGAGAGAGAATTTGACCTTTCTGGTCTTAGAGCTTGAAACTTACTTTTGTTTTATCTGAGTTCCTTCCTCAGGAAAGGACCACCAGCCCTCTCGAAAAGTAAGAAAGAATTGAAACTCATCAGATCACCCCAGGTCATCTCAACCAGATAGTGAGATGCCAGTCCAGTCCACTTATTCAACATGATTGCTTCCTTCCCTCCCTAGTTCCTCTTTTTCCACACAGTGTTATATTTCTTCCCTGCTGCTACATAAGCCCCTAATTTTAGTCAGTCAGGGAGATGGATTTGAAACTGAGCTCCTATCTCCTCTGCTGCAGCACCTGATTAAAAGTTTCTTCTCTGGCAATAATCGTGGTCTCAGTGATTGGCTTTCTGTGTGGAGAGCAGCAGGACTTAGACCGAACTCCTGGTGTCTTGGTAACAAATTGGGCTGCTTTGAGGGCTATGGAGCTAAGAGATTGTGAATCCCCAAAGCTGAGGTAAAGGGTTTGGCCATGGAGATCTGAGAAACTCCATGAAAAGGATTCAAAGTAAGGAAGAAAACATTGCTGTCCTGAAGAAATGGTTTCAGGAGCCCAAAGCCATGAGGCCAAATAAATCACAAAAAAGAGCAGGGAGGAATAATGCTCAGATGATGGCAGATCCCATAGTTTAATGACGTCACAGAAGGCAGGACACAACGGGAGAGGAATATTAGAGAAGGAGGATGGTTGCGGGTGGTATTAGCTAAAAGATTTGCAACTCTGCAACCTGTAAATGAATCAGAGGGTGAAGTTAGCCTATAAATTAAGGAGTGGGGTGCATTGGAATTTGGTCGTATTGGCATAAACAAAGAGACACTTTACCCCAAAAGAAAGCTCATGAGAAAATACAAATTTAAGTTAGATTATTCCCATTAAACCAGAAACTGCCTGGCGAGGCACTCCATGTAGCATTTGTAAATACAGTGACACCTAGATATAATCCAATCCACGACTTACCTGCATGGATGTGCTATAAGGGAAATGTGTATTTCTAAGAACAATGGTACCGATGTCATTCCTAGTCAACCAGTGTCAGAGACAAAGCAGTTTAATCTCAGCAACTCTAGAACCAGCAGGGGAAGAAGTAAGCTCGCCCACTGCGTCACACCCTCCTGAAAACCACAGTGACCCAAACATCAGAAGCCAGAGGCCTTCCCTTAGGATCATAGGCACTAGGAAATCTGAATTTAAGTGAGCTTGGTTATCAATTGGCCCACACATTCGAGCAAATGTATTGTTTTACTGTGTCCCGTTATGCCTGCAAAACAGAAAAATGCTCCAACATCTGCCAGAGTTATGGAGAGCCAGAGCAAGATCATGTATGTAAAATGCAGAAAAACATGGATTTCACATTTGACATAATATAATCATCTTTGAACTTCCCTCTTTCATTAGCTCCTAGGATAAACTGTGCTAATTCTGTTCATTCACTTATTAACTTGTTTATTCAATTAGCATTTGTGGAGTGTCCACTTGTGCCAGTTACTCTTCAAGGTCCTAGGGATACATAGAGCAGTGAACAAAATAGAAAAAAATCTCTCTTCCTAATGTAGCTTACCTTTTGACTCACCATCCTTCCATTCACTTTGCTATTTCATTTCCTTTTCTTCAATTAAATATATTTGCTACATGGCCGGGCGAGGTGGCTAACACTTGTAATCCCAGCACTTTGGGAAGCCAAGGTGGGCAGATTGTTTGAACCCAGGAGTTTGAGACCAGCCTGGGCAACATGGCAAAACCCTGTCTCTACAAAAAATACAAAAATTAGCTGGGCGTGGTGGCGGGCACCTGTAGTCCCAGGTACTTGGGAGGCTGAGGTGAGAGGATCACTTGAGCCTGAAAGGTAGAGGCTGCAGTGAGTCAGGTTGTGGCACTACACTATAGCCTGGGCAGCAGAGCAAGACCCTGTCTCAATATATATACATGTGTATGTGTGTATTTGCAACATGCCGGGACCTATATTAAGCATCTACTGTGTGTTAGCTCATTTAATACTCTGAAAGGCCTTGTAAGAATGACACTTCTTCACTGCACGTTAGAAGAAATGCAGGGAAGAAACGTGGCACAGCTAGCCTCAAGCTTCTTAGCAAGTGCCGCAGCCCTTAATTTGGAGCCAGAGTCTGTTTTTCTTTGCTAAGTCTTCTTTACGCTCTTTAGCTTTTTTCTCTAATGTCACATCTTTTGCTAATACAAACCCATGTGTGTTCTCCAAGAATCTACTCACTTTAATTATGCACTTAACCTTTAGGCAGGAGGCCTCAAAATCCTTTGCTCTGGCTGTCACCAGAGATCCAGCCCAAGACATTGTCCTTCTAATAAAGACCCACAAACCCCACAGGATCCCCAAGGACCTGAGTCATCTGGCCCCGCCTCTCGCTGCAGCCTTATCTGCTGCCACCATATTCTGGCCCAGCTTGCCAGCCTGCCTGGCTTCTCAGTGTCATCTGGGTATGTCTTGCTCCCACCTGCTGTTTACCTTGTACTCTTCATGGCTTCGGGGGGCACAGCCTCGCAGAGCCCCCCTTCCTGCTGGCCAGCTTGTGTTCACCTATCAGAGGTTAACTCAGAGACCTCAGGTGTCTGCCCCCCACCCTGCAGTCTCATTCAGAGTCCTCCTTTATATTCCTGCAGGACTGGTGAGCGACCTTCCTTGCAGTTATTGGTTTGTAATTACGTTTGCATGATTTCATATCCACCTCTTCTAGTTGATCTTAAGGCTCCTTGAGAAACGAGGTCCTACCTCTTTTCCTTAACATGTGTGTTTTCAATAACCGGTGCAATGTATGAGACTCCTGGCTACAAACAGACACAATGTGTGCTGAGGGACGGTTTGATTTGCCAGAGGCACACCCCACCATCACTTCAAACTCAACCACACTAAAGTTATTTTGCACAGATGCAAAATACACTGCCCCAGACTTGTCTACTTTCTGGACGACGTTGGAGACTTTAATGTACTTTATCCTGATTCAGTCTCCCATTGGATGAAGTAACATACTCTGTCAAATCATTTTGCTCCTGTCTCAGCCTCCCCCATCTGACAGGTACAGCACTGAGAGGCTAAGCTTGAATTACTCCTTCTGATGAGCATCTCTATAGCTGTGTCGTCTCCAAGATTGGCTTTGCAACAATCCTACAACACTTGTGTATTCCTTACAGGACCCTCATTGAACCAGGCCAGATATTTATTTAAATATTTAGAATTATTTTTGGCTGGGCTGTAAACCTATAGTTATACACACCTATGCAGGCATCTTCCCGTGTCAGGTGGTGTCTCATTTCTTTATCTAGCGGTAATTAGTGCAAGAGAAAAAAATGAAGTTTGGAAAAAAACACTTAAAAAGTGATTATGCCATATAAAGAGGGAAAGGTTTTTAAGAAACGATTATGGTATGAGAGGACCATGGATAGCTCAGTATACAATGAAGGGGCTCAGAGGGTGGAAGGCGGGCGAGGGATGAGAGATCACCAAATGAGAACAATGTACACGATTACAGCGACGCCTGCGCTAACGCCTAGACTTTATGCAGTGTATCCATGTAACAAAACTGCAGTGGTACCTCAGAAATCTGCACAAAATCTACATAATAATGATGGAGGCCGGGCGCGGTGGCTCACACCTGTAATTCCAGCACTCTGGGAGGCCGAGGCGGGCAATCACCTGAGGTCACGAGTTCAAGACTAGCCTGACCAAAATGGTGAAATCCCCGTCTCTACTAAAAAATACAAAAATTAGCCGGACATGGTGGCGGGCGCCTGTAATCCCGGGTACTCGGGAGGCTGAGGCTGGAGAATCGCTTGAACCCGGGAGGCAGAGGCTGTAGTGAGCCGAGATCTTGCCATTGCACTCCAGCCTGGGCTACAGAGCGAGACTCCCTCTCAAAAAACAAAAACAAAAACAAAAACAAACCAAAAAAAGATGGAAGGAAGGAGGGAATGTAGCAATTCTCCAAATCTACTGACAGTGAAAATAGGAGATGACGAGGGATTCCAGTTAGAAATGCCCAGTTTCCTGGGTGTGTGTGTGGCGGGGGTGGGTGGAACCATAACGTTAATTTTACCCCCGACGTTGGGAGCGCCTGAGTGGTGGCTTTTCACCGGGTGTGGCTCGTCTGAGCTCTTGAACTGAGGCCAGCGGACACCACCCACCGGCGCCTGCTTTCCCGCAGCGTGGGCTCCTCCCCCGTGCAGACCGCTAGGGGAGACGGTGCGGGCGGCCGGGAGCGCAGCCACCCGGGGAGGCGGGCCATGGCCTCGGGGCCGCCCGGGGAGCGGCTGCGCGAGGAGGCGCGGTGCCCCGTGTGCCTGGATTTCCTGCAGGAGCCGGTCAGCGTGGACTGCGGCCACAGCTTCTGCCTCAGGTGCATCTCCGAGTTCTGCGAGAAGTCGGACGTCGCGCAGGGCGGCGTCTACGCCTGTCCGCAGTGCCGGGGCCCCTTCCGGCCCGCGGGCTTCCGCCCCAACCGGCAGCTGGCGGGCCTGGTGGACAGCGTGCGGCGGCTGGGGCTGGGCGCGGGGCCCGGGGCGCGGCGGTGCGCGCGGCACGGCGAGGAGCTGAGCCGCTTCTGCGAGGAGGACCAGGCGGCGCTGTGCTGGGTGTGCGACGCCGGCCCGGACCACAGGACGCACCGCACGGCGCCGCTGCAGGAGGCCGCCGGCCGCTACCAGGTGAGGCGCCCCCCGGCGGGGGCTGCGGGCGCTGCGGGACCGGGAAGCGGGCGACCGTCCGGAGCGGAGCCGCCAAGGCCACCCGTCTCCTGAGCGGCTCCCACGGCCGCTCCCCGCGCCGTCCCCGCCGCCCACGCGGCTCACTCAGTGTGGGTCTCCTTGCCTTGGCTGGGGTAACCCCCTTTGCGACACACAACCATTATTTTACACCGTCCGCTCCTCCCTCAAGCACTCTCCTGTCCTCGAACTCGCGCTGGGCTGGATTTTCCTGGTGCGGATAGTCTGGTCCCTCAGCTGGGCTCTGGTCGGGAGGGCTGTGGTCCAGTTCATTCTTGGTAACTACTGTACATCTATATCGTAAACTTGCCGTAATAGTTCTCATTTGTGCAATGCTTTGCTTTTGCACAGTGTTTACGTTAAATGAGTGTTGTCACCAAAGCAACCCACGGGTTTGGGCGTTGTTAGGAAGAGTGTCCAGCTGGGCACGGGTTCCGATCCCTCCAAAGCTCAGGCGCCCGTGCCTCCTGAAGTAGGAGAGGGTGGCCCGCGGGTGGCTCTCCATCAGCAGGGATTTGGGGATTTAGGATTCGAACATCCTCAATGAAGGGGTGCTTCATTTGGAGTGTAGCCCGGGAAGCTTAAAAGAGAAAGAAGAAAAACAAAATGGAAGTATTTGGCCCCCAAAGTGGCATCTGTGAAATTTCGTGTAGAATTCTTCCTACTGGTGCCCTTCAAAAGTTCTTGGGTGCTTTCTGAACACACTTTAATCCCAGCATGTAGAACAACTGCCAGCACAGAGGAGGTCTAAGTCGTCTTTAATCTACTGACATATTTAACCAAAGGACTATCAGTCGTGCTGTAGTGCATTGCAAATACTAGCTTTCTTAAAATTTTTATTTATTTATTTTGTTTTTTTAAATTAAGGTTTAGGATATTTTCCCCTTCCCTCTGGACCTACCAATATCTCTCTTGGTATGTCTTCTTGATTTTCATTGTCATTGGCGAGATGTAGGTACTAGGTAATTTCTAGTTAAACTTTTCTGCTATGTTCTTGCCTTTTTTTTTTTTTTTAAAAAAAAGTCCAGAAAATACCATACAGAGGATTGGTAGTGTAATATTTCTTTTTTTCTTTTTTCCTTTTCTTTCTTTTTTTTTTTGAGACGGGGTCTAGCTCTGTAGCTCAGGCTGGAGTGCAGTGGTGCGATCTCCGCTCATTGCAACCTCTGCCTCCCGGGTCCTGGTTCAAACAGTTCTCCTGCCTCAACCTCCTGATTACAGACAGGTACACGGCACCACGCCCGGCTAATTTTTGTATTTTTAGTAGAGACGGGGTTTCACCGTGTTGGCCTGGTTTTGAACTACTGACCTTGTGATCTACCCTCCTTGACCTCCCAAAGTGCTGGTGTTACAGGCAGCCCAGCCTCTAGGGTAATATTTCTAAAGATATTCTCTGTATTTCCAGTAGTTCTTCAGTTAAATACCAAATAAATATTATCTAAACTCCTGAGCCTGTCAGTGATAGCTTTCTAGGGCCCTAAGTTGTGTTTCCATAGCTCTTGTCTGAACTAGCCAGGAAACCCAGCAAATTTAGCCGAATCACTGTTTTCCTAACTGTGCCACGTCTTCTTGCTTTTGCTGATAGTTTCTTTGGCCTGAGGGAGCTCTTCTCTATCTACAAGTGTCAAAGTGCTTTCTCTATCTACAAGTGTCAAAGTGTTCATTCTTTGTAAACACCAAAACAAATGCCACTTTCCCCACTGGGTCAAATGGTATCATGAATTCTACTGTTATTTTATGTATAACAATTATAATATTCTCCTTTTAAAAACAATTGATGTATATGTAGGATTTATTAAGTAACTTTGAGAATAGAATTTTTTAATTAAAATCCTGTTTATGTATGTATCTTTGTGGGTATTTTCTGTAAATAAAATACACATATTTACTTTTAGTGAGGGCCCTATCATTGAAGGAAGATTTAGTTCTCATATTTTTACTCATTGTAAGTTTACAACATATTGTATTTTTTCATATAAAATATGATAACCTCCCAAGTTCCTTCTGACCTAATAATACTACTAATACTACATTAATAAACCCATGCTTTATCATAAAGTAATCAATAACTTCAAGAAGTTGAAATATAGAGAGATATAATAGCATCACTCTTCATCCAAATACCAATAGATGACATTTCGTCTAATATTCTCATTTACATCAGCCCAGTTTTAATATATTACCAGCACATTTTTTTCAAAATTAATGCTGTTTTGTAAAATATATTTATTTATTGGACATTATCATTGTATTTCTTGTCGTTAAACATTCTGTAACATCCTATTTTAATTCTATCCAGTTAATATAATTTTTTTCTCCCCTATCTTTAATGTTTTAGTTAAGTTATACTATTGTATATAACAATGCAGTGAGCATACTTTTAGATAACTATTTGATTGTATCTGGTATTGAAATACATTTAAGGAGCTAGGCATGATGGCTCACGCCTGTAATCCCAGAACTTTGGAAGGTCAAGATGGGAGACTCTCTGGAGGCCAGCAGTTTGACACTAGCCTGGGCAATATAGTAAGACCCCATCTCTACAGAAAACAAAATTAGCTGAGTGTGCCTTGAGTACTAGCTGCTTGGGAGCTGAGGTAGGAGGACCATTTGAGCCCAGGAGTTTGAGGCTGCAGTGAGCCATGATCGCATCACTGAACAACAACCTGAGTGACAGAGCGAGACCCTGACACTAAAACTTAAATACATTTATGTTTAGTTTTTAATGATATTGAACATTTTTTGTGTGCTTTCAAGAGATGGTTTAAATTGATCTTTGTATTTCCTCACACATCTGCGTGATGTTAGGTACTGAGTGAGAGCATCTGTAACAGCTTTGAAATATCTTCCCAAACAGGTAAAGCTCCAGATGGCTCTGGAACTTGTGAGGAAAGAGCTGGAGGATGCCTTGACTCAGGAGGCCAGTGTGGGGAAAAAGACTGTCATTTGGAAGGTAAGACCGTGTTGGGGCTTTAGGAGGCTTGCCTGTTTGAAGGATCCAGATTCGGGTCAGTAATTCTTCCACCATCTTCCATTCTCCAGCACTTTTTTTCCATCTCCATATATGCCCAAGAACACCTCAGAGCCATCCTGGGTCATCCCTGTACCCTCAAATGATATGGTTCATTTTTGTTCTTTTTGTCTCTGTTGCCATCACCCAATCCAAATTACAATTAAATAGCTTTGCTAGCTTGATCTTACTGTAAAACCCACTGCTGTATCCCTGTCGCCTAGAATAGCATCTTATACCGTCACTACTAGTTTGAAAATATTTGTTAGGTGAATGAAATAATGAATATTTCACAACTTTGTAACAGAAGAAGTACAGCCCAAAGTGATCATCTTATATACAGGGAAATAATCCGAACGTTCAGCCTTTTTTGATCATCTGTACATACACATATTCCATTTTTTAATACCTCACTAGCTCTTTTTATTCCATGTTTCATTCATGCACATGCATGTGAACATGTGTATACGCACACACACACAGTGATTCGTACACACACAGTGATTCACTCACATACACACACACAGTGATTCTCAACCTGAGGCGATACCCACACCCCCCTAGATACATTTTGCAATTTCTGGAGATGATATTTTTGGTTGTCACAACTGAGGAAGGGTGGGTACAGTGCACCTGTCATCTAGTAGAGACAGGAGTGCAGCTTCACACCCTGTAGTCCACAGGACAGTTCCCATATCCTATGAGAAAAAATGATCTGTTCAAGATGTCAATAGTGTCAAGATTGAGAAACTATATATAGAAACTGTGTGTATAGTTCTATATATTCATGTAATATATTATGTAATATGATATATAGTAGGTTATACTCTACAGAATATTCCTATTCTTTTTCCTTTTCCAAATAACCCTTCTTTTCTGATGACTCTATATATTTATAATTATTTCCTTCTTGTTTTCTTTGAAAATTTAGTCTTATACTCTATCTTTACACAGATATTATATAAAGACTTTTTAAACTACATTTTTCTATATTTACTACATTACTAGATTACTATATATATACACATAGGGATAGGAAAAGATAACACTTATCCCAGAAGAAACATGTACATTAAGGCCAGGCATGGTGGCTCACAACTGTAATCCCAGCACACTGCGAGGCCGAGGCAGGAGGATCATCTGAGGTCGGGAGTTCAAGACCAGCCTGACCAACATGGAGAAACCCCATCTCTACTAAAAATACAAAAAAAAAAAAAAAAAAAAAAAGAGCCGGGCGTGGTGGCGCATGCCTATAATCCCAGTTACTCAGGAGGCTGAGGCAGGAGAATTGCTTGAACCCAGGAGGCAGAGGTTGCAGTGAGCTGAGATCGCGCACATTGCACTCCAGCCTGGGCAACAAGAGTGAAACTCTGTCTCAAAAAAAAGAAGGAAAAAGGAAAAGAAAAATGTACATTATAGGTAAATAATTTAGATAGTGATAGGAAAGGATAAAAGTTATCAATATTAAATAATATTGATGTTAATAACTTTAGTACCTAACGTTACTCAGATGTGTGAAGAAATATTTAAATTTATTAACGTTGATACTGACAAACTTGTTCATCAATATTATTAATGAATATTTTAAAACTAGTAGTGACAGTATAAGATGCAACTCTAGATGATAGGGATATAGCCGTGGGTTTTGCAGGAAGAGCAAGCTAGTAAAGCATAGTTTGGATTGGGTAGTGGCAATCGAGATAAAAAGAGCAAGAACAAAGCTTTACAATATTAAATAATGTTAGTTATTTGCCTATAATATACATAGTGATAGGATGTACATTATTTAATATTGTAATATTGATGGATAATTTTTGTTCTTTTCAGGCTGAAATACAAGTCTATTGTTTTCAATCCTGGCCTGACCGTAGATCTATAAAATCAGAATGCCCGTATCGGAGAGCTGAGTTCCTGCATGTTTTAAACCCTCTACTGATTATTCTTAAGTAGGGATGATACTGAGATCCCTGTTCTAAGCCAAGTAAACTTGCATGATCTTCACCATCAAGAATGTATCCATGTGAGCCAAATGCAGCAAGCACATTTTTGGTCACAAGGTATTCTAAATACTACAAAACAACCCTTCCTGTTTCTCTATCTGCAGATATAGTTGTGCTCAAGAGGGTGGTGTGAAAGGAAGATGAATTGCAGGCAAATCGCTTCCCACCACACCCCCCTTCATGCCCCAGGTATGACTCAACTCTTTTCTAGTGGCTGGGTTATTTGCCCCACCCCATGACAGCACAGCCTCTGATATGAAGAGAGCTTCTCATATTTACATGAGTTACACCTTTCAGGAATCAGTGTACGGAATTCAGACTTGCCTGATTTCAGAAAGAAGATGAAGTTTTCTGAATCTGGTGATTTAGAAAATGGTAGAAGGAAGTAGAGTTGGAAAATGGAAGGAAGGAGTTAAGTCTTAGGGGATATTTAGTTTAAAAAGGTGATAGCTTATGCCTTTTAGTCAAAACAAGAAGTTACCACGTTTAAAAACAGGCAGATAGGCTGGGCACAGTGGCTCACGCCTGTAATCCCAGCACTTTGGGAGGCCAAGGTGGGCCAATCATGAGGTCAGGAGTTTGAGACCAGCCTGACCAACATGGTGAAACCCTGTCTTTACTGAAAATACAAAAATTAGCTGGGCATGGTGGTGTGTGCCTGTAATCCCAGTTACTTGGGAGGCTGAGACAGGAGAATCACTTGAACCCAGGAGGAGGAGATTGTAGTGAGCTAAGATTGTGCCACTGCACTCCAGCCTGGGTGACAGAGCAAGACTCTTGTCTCAAAAAAAAGATAAAAAAAAACCAGGCAAATGACTTCACCTACAAAGCAGTGTAACAGTGTAACAAAACTCCATTTGTACCTCCTGAATATCTACAAAAAAGAAAACAAATCGATAAAACAGGACAGAGAATGGGAGGTACAGGTACTTTGAGGGAGTGATTTGCCTCTCCTACTCAGCTTAAAGTTAGTTTCCAATATACTTATCTCGAGAGAAGAAAATCTAGAAACTAAGCCTGGGATGAAGTATGTTCCTTCGGTCTATTCAGAAACTGGAGACGCGAGATTCGGGTAGAAATCGGGGTTAATTCCCTGACGTGAACTCTGAACTCAGTGGCCTGAGCATTACTTAGTTGTTTCTTGGCTTTGTAGAGAACGTTAGACCTATGGTTGTTGGTTGTGTTCACTATTACCGTATTGTGAAACAGCGTGCATATTTTCTCATCTCTCAGCCTGTTCTTATTCAAACAATTCTAGGTCTCTAACATTTCTTCATAATTCGGTTGTTTCTAATGGTTCTAGTGACTAATCGACTAGTAAATAGTAACCTGTTGTGTGACTGCTCTATGCCGATCACTGTTCTTGTAGTTTAATAGATATTCAGCCGTAATCCACATACTCTTCTTTTTCCCCACATTTTTAAAGAGATGGAGTCTTGCTGAAGTGCAGTGGTGCAATCAGAGCTTACTGCAGCCTGGAGCTCTTAGACTCAAGTAATGCTCCCACCTCAGCCTTGTGGGTAGCTGGGACTACAGGGCTTACCACCATGCCCGGTCAGTTCATTTAATGTTTTTAGAGATGGGGTCACGTTTTGCTTTGTTACCCGGGCTGGTCTTGAACTCCTGACCTCAAGCAATCCTCTTGCCTCAACCTCCCCAGAACCTCACATTTTGTATATGGTACTGAAACTTCAATATAAAAGTGCCTTGCCCCCAAGCCTGTGGCAAAATGGGAACTCCAGTCCAACAGTGTTTTTTAAACTTAGTTTGAAAACTCTCCTGGGCTACTTCTTATACGAATGGACTGCAGTCTGTGCATGTTGTTAGAATGCAGCCAGTCAGTCCACAGAGTTACGGATCCCAGGGAAGTCTGGACGTTGCCTTCTCCAGCACTGTCCTGTACTTGGCTGCAGGAGGCCGAGCGCTGATGATGTGATCCACTGTGTCACCTCAGGAGAAAGTGGAAATGCAGAGGCAGCGCTTCAGGTTGGAGTTTGAGAAGCATCGTGGCTTTCTGGCCCAGGAGGAGCAACTGCAGCTAAGGCGGCTGGAGGCGGAGGAGCGAGCGACGCTGCAGAGACTGCGGGAGAGCAAGAGCCGGCTGGTCCAGCAGAGCAAGGCCCTGAAGGAGCTGGCAGATGAGCTGCAGGAGAGGTGCCAGCGCCAGGCCCTGGGTCTGCTGGAGGTGAGACCGGGTGCCAGAAAAGCAGGCAGGTGTGAGACTGAGGTGACAGGGACTAGTACAGTGGCTTTCAGAGACAAACACTTTGGCGTTTATGTTCTTTAGGAAAAGGGCACCCTCGAATTTACTCAGAAGGCAGCTTAAACACCCTAGAATTTACTCAGATGCCATTCCTGGCATCAGAATCATGAGATTCTAGAGAATCATATAGTTTGAGTCTGGCATGGTGGCACTTGCCTGTAGTCCCAGTTATTAGGGAGGCTGAGATAGGAGGATTGCTTGGGCCAAGGAAATTGAGACCAGCCTGGGCAACATAGCAAGACCCTGTCTCAAGAAACAAACAGACAAACAGCATATAGTTCGTTTTAAGGACTAAAGAATTTTTAAAATTAAAATTAATGATTTCTGAAAATTTAAACAGCTAGGAAAAGGACAGGCTACACTCTGCTGGCTGAGAAGTAATTCCTAAAACCTCAGAGTCAGTTTGCGGTTTTTCCATGATGGCATTGCTGTTTTTCAGGGATGGCTAACCCAGAAAGTCTGCATAACACATTTTAGTGTCACCGGCCAGAAGGATAAATAATGATTTAAATTGTCCAGCTTGAAATTGTTATATTGGATTGTAACGCAAACATTGATTTCCTGGCCCACGTTGCGTGCCCGTTCCAGGCATGGTGAGGAGGGATTACGTGGACTCCCGTGCAGCTTCCTCCCAGTCTATTTGGGATTAGAGAACAGAAAGATGAATAACATTGAAAGGGAATCTTTGTTTTTAATCCTCTGTGAAGACATCATATCCCAAGTGAACAGGGAAAGCCAGAGCTGTTGATGGATCCATGTTTTCTGGATAGAACCAATGGCAACAGAAATTTATCTGGGCCAACTTCTATCTCCTCCCCAATGACTCACTCAGGGGATTCTAAACTAAGTGATTCATGTTCTCATTTAACAGCTGACCCACAGATTCTACCTTTTCTGACTCAGTTCTAGACACTGAAATTGCCATGAATATTAATAATCATATTAACTCTCTGTATAATATTTGCAAGTACAGTTACTAAACAGTACTGATTACAAGGCAGAGGACCATGAAATGAATTTGTAAAACCGTTTGTCTCATTTTATCTTATATATGTTAAATTTATATTTTATTATTATTGCTGTGCTCATTTCCTTGTTAGCAAACTAAGAGTAAGAAGGAATTTTCCAAATAGCAGACAGCAAAACACAAGAACTTTGACAGTTTCTTTTCTTTTCTTTTCTTTTTTTTTGAGACGGAGTCTCGCTCTGTTGCCCAGGCTGGAATGCAGTATGCAGTGGTGTGATCTTGGCTCACTGCAACCTCTGCCTCTTTGGCTCAAGCGATTCTCCTGCCTCAGCCTCCTGAGTAGCTGGGATTAAAGGCGAGTGCCACAGCACCTGGCTAATTTTTTTTTTTTTGCATTTTTAGTAGAGATGGGGTTTCGCCATGTTGGCCAGGCTGGTCTTGAACTCCTAACCTTAGGTGATCTGCCCACCTCGGCCTCCCAAAGTGCTGGGATTACAGGCGTGAGCCCCTGTGCCCGGCTTGACAATTTCAACAACAGTATTGCTCTGCCCACCTTGGCCTCCCAAAGTGCTGGGATTGTAGGCATGAGCCACCCCGCCTGGCATGGGAGGGTATATTCTTAAATAAGGTATCTTATCTATCTACTGTTTCATAAGGGCGGGATCTCACTCTGTCACTCAGGCTGGAGTGCAGTGGCTCAATCATAGCTCACTGCAGCCTCAGTCTCCTGGGATCAGGCAATCCTTATGCCTCAGCCTCCCAAGTAGCGGGGACTAAAGGTGTGCACCACCATGCCCAGCTAATTTTTAAAAAATTTTTAGTAGAGATGAGACTTCATTGTGTTGCCCAGGCTGTATATTTTTATACTTTCCTTTCTTCCCTGGTACTAATAAGCTACATTTTTCCCCCGAAGGCCAAGACCGAGGCCTGACATTCCCATACAGGGTAAAGCAAATTATTTCCCTCTTTTATGCCATCAAAACTTATCTGACTGGCGACTGTTTTGAAGGGGAGAGGGGAAATGTATCCCAAATACAATTATTAATATAATAAATGTATCACAGATATATTTATTTAATAATCTACTTTGAGAAAGTAATGTTAGTAGTTATTAAAGGCTTCCTTTATTAATCTACTTAGATAACCTACTCATAGGAATAGCTCTGGTACGTTGGTTCAGAGAATTAGGAATTTATAATTCCTATGAAGACATTTAGGGAAACATTTTGTGTCTTTATTTAAGGAACCCATCCCTGCCCCTCAGATAAATTCTGTGAGTACTTAGGATCTATTTTATCCTGCTCCGTCCGAATTACCTGCAGAATGTTACTCTGTTACAATATCCAAGTGGCAGAATTATTAATTCAGAAGATAATTAAATTGATAGATGTTGCAGGAATTAACCTAAAATTTGTATAGCTTTAAAGAAAAGAGATTTGGCTGGGTGCAGTGACTCACGCCTGTAATCCCAGCACTTTGGGAGGCCAAGGTGGGCGGATCACCTCTGGTCAGGAGTTCGAGACCAACCTGGCCAACATGGTGAAACCCCGTCCCTACTAAAAATACAAAAAAAAAAAAAAAAAATTAGCCAGGCATGGTGGCGGGAGCCTGTAATCCCAGCTACTTGGGAGGCTGAGGCAGGGAGGTGGAGGTTGCAGTGAGCTGAGATCGCGCCATTGCACTCCAGCAGCCTGGGTAACAAGAGCAAAACTCCATCTCAAAAAAAAAAAAAAAAAGAGATTTATTGTCCCCTATAATTTTGTCTTAATAATGTTTTCCAGTAATTTCTTAAGGAAATTTTCGTGGTGTCCTCAGTCTGACTGGGAAAAGCAGTTCAGAGTCCAGCTTACACTGTATTTTTCTTTCCTTTTCAGGGTGTGAGAGGAGTCCTGAGCAGGTATACGTGCTTTCTAGTTGGTGAAGGGATTGGGAGAGGCAGAGGAGCTGGTGGAGAACCCTGCTGACCTCTGTGGTTTCTGTGCTCTTCCCAGAAGTAAGGCCGTCACAAGGCTGGAAGCAGAGAGCATCCCCATGGAACTGAAGACAGCGTGCCGCATCCCTGGGAGGAGGGAACTGTTGAGGAAGTTCCAAGGTAGTTTGCGTCTTAGAGACTGGGAAGTAGGCTGCCTGGGGTTTGCCTCGTATTGCAGTTTGTTACTGTGCCAGTCAGCTGCAGTGAGCAACAGCACCTGAAGTCTTAGTGGCCCAGATCAGCAGAAGCTTGTTTTGAGGGTGTTGCCGTTGCTTTGTTCCTGGGTGTGGGGACTTCTGTGCCACATCGTCTCACTCCGAGACCCGTGCTGACAGAGCTCCACCTCCCTCGCGGTGCTGGGAGCCATAGAAATGGGCCAGGTGATTGAAGACATGGGGGAAGAAGTTCTCTTACAGAGTCAATACAACACCTCACTTCTGGTCACCAAAATGTGTGGGGATTTCTCCCCGCAAACAGCCATTCAGTTCTCCAGCACATACTCCAGCCAGATGTCCTTCCATGCAATTTGATTTTGACACTATCTACCTGGAGATAGCACCAGGTCCCCCGGGTTGAGGGCCTAGTCCCACAAGACTGACCCCATTTCACGTGCCAGCCACAAGCACAGGTTGTGGCCTGTGATTCTGACCAACTGACTGTAAATTGGGGTTCCCACAACCCCTTCTTGAGTTCACTTGATTTCCTGAAAGAGCTCACAGAACTCAGGGACACATATTTACTCATTTATTATAATGGGCATTACAGAGGCTAGAGATAAACAGATGGAAGAGATTCCCAGGGTGAGGTTTGTGAGAAAGGGTACGGAGCTTCCACACCTTCTCTAGGCATGCTACCTTGGGAACCTCCACGTGTTCAGTGATCTGGAAGTCCTCAGGACTCAGTTCTTTCTTTTCTTTTCTTTTCTTTTTTTTTTGTGATGAAGCCTTACCCTGTCCCCAGGCTGGAGTGCAGTGGCACCATCTTGGCTCACTGCAACCTCCGCCTGCCATGTTCAAGCGATTCTCCTATCTCAGCCTCCTGAGTAGCTGGGATTACAGGTATCTGCCACCACACCCGGCTATTTTTTATATTTTTAGTAGAAACGGGGCCTTATCATGTTGGCCAGGCTGGTCTTAAACTTGACCTCAAATGATCTGCCTGCCTTGGCCTCCCAGAGGGCTGGGATTACAGGCGTGGGCCACCGTGCCCCGCCAATGAACTCAGTTCTTTTAGGTTTTTATGGAAGCACTTTGTAGACGTGATTGATTAAATCATAGGCCATTGGTTTATCAACCCACCCTTCAGCCCGTCTCTCTTCAGAGGTAGGTGGGAGCATGGCACTGAAAGTTTCAAGCCTCTAATCACATGGTTGGTTCCCCTGGCAACCCACACCCATGGGAGGCTTTCTGGGGGATCACCAACCATAAGTCATCTTAGTAGCATGCAAAAGACACTCTTGTCTTTCTGGAAATTCCAAGGATTTTTAGAACTATATGTCAGTAAACAGGATGTAGACAAAATGCATACTTCACAGTATCATAGGCATGGTGACTGTAGACCAAACAGATACTTCCCAGTATCATAGGCATGGTGACTGTAGACCAAATAGATACTTCCCAGTATCATAGGTATGGTGAATCCTGTACCGTAGACCAAATACACACTTCACAGTATCATAGGCACAGGGACTCATGCACTGTAGACCAAATACACACTTCACAGTATCATAGGCATGGTGACTGTAGACCAAATACATACTTCACAGTATCATAGGCATGGTGACTGTAGACCAAATAGATACTTCCCAGTATCATAGGTATGGTGAATCCTGCACCGTAGACCAAATACACACTTCACAGTATCATAGGCACGGTGACTCATGCACTGTAGACCAAATACACACTTCACAGTATCACAGGCATGGGGATTCATGCACTGTAGACCAAATACACACTTCACAGTATCATAGGCATGGTGAATCCTGCACCGTAGACCAAATACACACTTCACAGTATCATAGGCATGGGGACTTATGCACTGTAGACCAAATACACACTTCACAGTATCATAGGCATGGTGAATCCTGCACCGTAGACCAAATACACACTTCACAGTATCATAGGCATGGGGACTCATGCACTGTAGACCAAATACACACTTCACAGTATCACAGGCATGGGGATTCATGCATTGTAGACCAAATACACACTTCACAGTATCATAGGCATGGTGAATCCTGCACTGTAGACCAAATACACACTTCACAGTATCATAGGCATGGGGACTCATGCACTGTAGACCAAATACACACTTCACAGTATCATAGGCACGGGGATTCATGCACTGTAGACCAAATACACACTTCACAGTATCATAGGCACGGGGACTCATGCACTGTAGACCAAATACACACTTCACAGTATCATAGGCACGGGGACTCATGCACTGTAGACCAAATACACACTTCACAGTATCATAGGCATGGTAAATCCTGCACCGTAGACCAAATACACACTTCACAGTATCATAGGCATGGGGATTCATGCACCGTAGACCAAATACACACTTCACAGTATCATAGGCATGGGGACTCATGCACCGTAGACCAACTACACACTTCACAGTATCATAGGCATGGTAAATCCTGCACCGTAGACAAATACCACTTCACAGTATCATAGCATGGTGAATCTGACCGTAGACCAAATACACACTTCACAGTATCATAGGCATCGTGACTGTAGACCAAATACACACTTCACAGTATCATAGGCACGGAGACTCATGCACTGTAGACCAAATACACACTTCACAGTATCATAGGCATGGTGACTCATGCACTGTAGACCAAATACACACTTCACAGTATCATAGGCATGGGGACTGTAGACCAAATACACACTTCACAGTATCATAGGCACGGGGACTCATGCACTGTAGACCAAATACACACTTCACAGTATCATAGGCATGGGGACTCATGCACTCCTCTTAAAGGCATCCATGCTGAATTGGGGCATGTGGCCTTCCTGAGATTTCATGGCTAAGCCAAACTCTCAAGGAGACAGTGTAGGGGGCAAGGGAAAACTTTCCCCTTTCACTATGAATGTTTGCTGAAAATTAATTGACCAAAGACAAACAGGAACAAAGGCATAGAAAAAGTTTAACATTCAAAGCACAGCAGAATCGCAGGAGAATAATTACCCAGTAACTCAATGGGATGCGGATGCTTATATACCCTTCTTTATTGGAGGAAAGGGAGATGGGGAGGCGTGGATGATTTTAGAGGGATAGTAAATGATTTTTTGGTGGATTCATTGGACTTGGAGTACATACAGTGGCTTGGGACAAAGTCTGTTGAAAAATAGACAGTGGTTTGTGACTGAAGTCCGTCCAGGTGTGTTGACAGACTTGTCTGTCTTCCTACAGTATGAACTAAATTAATTAAAACACAGGGACTTTAGGCAGATAAATGAGTGTTAGAATAAAGCTTCTTCCAGTGTGTGCTCATCTCCAGGGGCCTTTAATTTAAAATAATGGGCATACCGGGGTGCCATATTTTAGGGTAGAATTCTCTGGTCTCCTTCGGTGGGAGAGTGTACCATGCCCAGAAAAATGAGGATTGGTGTATTCATGAACAGTATCAGAATCACAGCCACCCATAGAATCTACATGTGGTTAGAACAGTGGGCTCAAAATTGTAGTTCATCTCTTATTAGCTGTGATATGAGTAACGTTAGTTCCAGTAGATTTACATTTCCTTGTTTATAAAATGCTAAAAATGTTTAGAGGACAATATGAAACATTTGAAAGCACCCCACCTCCTAAAAGTTATCAATATGAAAGCATTGCAAAGTTATTAATTAACAAGAAGTTTGGTTTAATGTATTGGCTGAGAATTTGATGAGTTGCTTGAATTAGTGAGTCAATAAAGCCAAAAATATTGTCAATTATTTTTATGTAGGAATAAGCAGTGTCACAAAAAATTAGTCTGTTCAATCTGATTATATTATTCTTTAAAACAGTATAGATTCAGTATTGTTTAAAATTTCATTTTAAAATCTAATTTATCCCAAGTAATGAAAACTGACTATGTCTAAATAGTGGCTTCACTACTTACAGGGAAAGAGTGTAAAGTCCCTTAATGAGAAAATCCATCTCCGCAGCATAATACCCCCATTCTCCTGGGTAGATGAATGTATACTAAATGCCCGACTCGATTAAAATAATCATGGCACCCTTAGACTCAGTAACTTCATATCTATATTTATTTTTATTGAATGAAACAATTCAAAATGTTTTATTAATTCTATCTCATCCATTCTTTTAAACATTGGAATATATCATTAAACAACAACAGCAGCAAAATATGCTACAATCCATAGCTTTGTGTTGCAGATACGTACTTAGCCAAAATACACAGGCTGTGAGAGGCTGATACAGAATATTGAATAAAATAAAAAGGAGTATGAAAAGGGTAATGAGAAGTTCTGGTTTTGAATAAGGTGACCAGGAAGGACCTCGCCCCGTGGGGATAATGCAGCACATATATGATTTGGAAGAAAGCACTCAGACAGCAGAAATGAGTGCTGAGGCCTGACATGGAGGATGGCAGGTGTGTTCCAGGAGCTGTGAGGATGTCAGTGTGAGGAGACTGTGGCAGACTAAATGACAGGAGGGTCAGAGAGACCACGGAAGGGCTAGATAGGCTCTGAGCAGGATACTTTATCCCTGAGTGAAATAGGACATCATTGAAAGTTGCACCTAGAAAAATAGTTTGATTGGACTAATGTTTTATGAGGATCACTTTGTATGGTTTCTTGTAAGTAAATTACGGGGAGGAGAAGATTACATGGGAAAAGCAGTTAAGGGTCTTTGCAGTAATTTGATGAGAGATGATTATGTGTTGGAACAGATGTTATTACGGAAGGTGCCTCAAGATGGACATATTTTTGTTATACACTGAAGGCAGAGCTGTTAAGATTTGCTATTGGATTACATATGATGTGCTATTAAAAAGAAGAGCTATGAATGATTCCAAGGTTTTGGAGCTTGCAAACTGGCAAAATGTGATTGCCACTTCTATTGAAGAGGAAAGCTACAATTGAAGCAGAAGAAGGGGTTGGGGTTTGGACACATGGATGTTGCGATGAGTGCTAAATATCCACATGTTTCTATCAGGTGGGCAGATGAGTGTACAATAGGGATTTTCAGGGTAAAGTTCAAAGCTAAGCACATGCATTGGGAATCAGTCAGCATATGATTGGAATTTTATCAAAGCAATGAGCCAGTCAACCCCCGGGTAGATAGGGAGTGAGGTGAAAGAGAGAGAAGAAGTCCAATAGGTTTCTCCAGTGTTGGTGGTGGAGGAGAAGAGAATAGCAAAGAGGATGAAGGAGTAGTGAGCAGGGAGAGAAGGGAAACATGGATGAGTGCTGTCTGTGGAAAAGGGAGATTTTCCAGCACAAGTGGATTCTCAGTAGTGTTGAGAGATACAGAAAAATCATTGAAGAGGAGCTCTGGGCCAGGTGCGGTGGCCTGCACTTTGGGAGGCCGAGGTGGGCACATCACCTGAGCTCAGGAGTTTGAGACCAGCCTAGTCAGCATGGAGAAACTCCATCTCTACTAAAAATACAAAATTAGCCGGACATACTGGTGCATGCCTATAATCCCAGCTACTCAGGAGGCTGAGGAAGGAGAATTGCTTGAACCCAGGAGGCGGAGACTGCAGTGAGCCGAGATCACACCATTGAACTCCAGCCTGGGTAACAAGAGCAAAAGTCCATCTAAATAAAAAGACAAATTCTAACAAATAGCCATTCATCAACACACAGGTCCCTGGGAAGATGGACATGAGCAGTTTGGTTGGGGTGTGGTCACATCATGATGAAGAATTGAGTTTAGGAGAGAAGGGGTAGGGAGAGGAATGGGATGTAGACCATGTCAAAAGCCATTTCACAGATCTATTTTGTTAGAAATGAAGCAGACAAATGTGCTGGAGCAGGCATGACATGGGAATACATGACTTCTGTTAAATGCACAATCCGTGGAGACCTACCTTTCCATCTCTGTTACTTACCTCTAGAGTTTGGGAAGACCACATGAACTCTTTGACTCGGAATCTACTCTTGTGTAATGTAGGGATGACAATGGTGACCCTCAGGGTGGTTATATGAGTTAATAAAAATAATGCAATATGCAGTTATGTGACCACTCAGGTTGGGTATCAGTAACAGTTCACTAGGCTGGGCGTGGTGGCTCACACCTGTAATCCTAACACTTTGGGGAGGCCGAGGCAGGTGGATCACCTGAGGTCAGGAGTTCAAGACCAGCCTAACCAACATGGAGAAACCCCATCTCTACTAAAAATACAAAATTATCCAGGTGTGGTGGTGCATGCCTGTAATCCCAGCTACTTGGGAGGCTAAGGCAGGAGAATCACTTGAACCCAGGAGGCGGAGGTTGCAGTCAGCCAAGATTGTGCCAGTGCACTCTAGCCTGGGCAACAAGAGTGAAACTCTATCTCAAAAATTAAATTAAATTAAAAAATTTTTAAAATTCACCTTTAAAAAAAGGCTGGGCATGGTGGCTCACACCTGTAATCCCAACATTTTGGGAGGTTGAGGCCGATGGATCGCTTGAACCCAGGAGTTCAAGACCAGCCTGGGCAACATAGTAAAACTCCATCTCTACAAAAAATACAGAAAACTGGCTGGGCATGGTGGTGTACGCCTTCCCAGCTACTCAGAAGGCTGAGGTGGGGGGACGGCTTGAGTCTGAGAGGTGGAGGCTGCAGCGAGCTGTGATTGCACCACTGCATTCCAGACTGGGCAACAGAGCAAGGCTCTGTCTCAAGTAAAAAAAAAAAAGTTCACTAGAAGTGTTTAAAGGCAGGTAAGTATAGTGGTAGTGGCAGTAGTGGTAGTAGTAGTAGCAGTAATAGGAAGAGTAGTGCAGTAGTAGTAATAGTAGTAGCAGTAGAAGCAGTATTCTGATATTAAAAATCAAACTATATTAACATGTTAGTCTGATTTTGCATTGCTATAAAGAAATACCTGAGGCTGGGTAATTTATTAACATAAGGAAATGTGGTTTGTTTTGGCTCATGGTTCTGCAGACTGTACAGGAAGCATGGTGCTGGCACCTGCTTCTGGTGAGGCCTCAGGAAACCTACAGTCAATGTGGAAAGCAACGGGGGAGCCAGCGTATCACATGGCAAGAGGGAAGCAGTGAAGTGGGCAAGTGCCGGGTTCCTCTTAAACAACCAGCTCTTGCATGAACTGATAAAGAACTCACTTATCACCAGTGGGATGGCATTAAGACATTCATGGGGGATCAGCGCCCACGATCCAGCACTTCCCACTAGGCCCCACCTTCAACACTGGGAATCACATTTAAATGTGAGACTGGGAGGGGATACACACCCAAACCATATTATTAATTAACTTACTATTTATAAGCAATGCTAATAAGGAAATCCACTGAATATTTTACATCCCCCCTTCACTGAGGTTTCATATCTAGATGTATTTATTTATTATGTGTATGGGTCAAATGTCTCATCAATCTCGCTGGGACTTCAGAGTATCAATATTTTTTATTGTTACATAATGAATAACTACAAGCTTAGCTGCCTAAAGCCATACCATTTAGTAGCTCACAGTTCTGAAGATCAGACATCCAGGTAGGATCAGCTGGCTCCTCTGCTTAGGGTTTTCTCAAGGCCCACATATGGGTGTTGGCCAGGCTAGGCTTCTCTGTAGGTCTGGGGAAGAACCTTCCCTCTAAGCTTATTCAGGTTGTTGGCATAATACAATTCCATGCAAATGCAGTACTGAGATTCCTGTTGTCTTGCTGGCTGTTGGTTGGGGGCCATTCTCAGCTCTGGAGATCACTCATTTTTCTCCTCATATGACCTTTCCATCTTCAAAGCCAGCAAAGAGATATCAAATCCACGTCTTACTGACCTTTCCTGCTGCCACCAACCCAATAGCCAGAGAAAACTTTCTGATTTTACAGAACTTGTGGGATTAGATTAGACTCACCTTGATAATCTCTCTCTGATCATATAGTATAACATACTCATGAGACTAACACCATGGTGTGAAGGTCATGGGGTTCATCTTAAAATTCCGCCTACCACAGTAATATAACTTTGAAAGTAGTGGGCTTAATATTAATAAAATTCTCCTATAAATTTTTAAGAAAAGAATTCCTAAGAGGTTTGTAAATTTTATGTTAAATGCAGAAGATCCTCCTAAGTGCACCCAAATGCTTTGGATGTAAGCCAGACATGGTGGTGTGCACCTGTAGTCCCAGCTGCTGGGGAGGCAGACACAGGAGGATCTCGAGTCCAGGAGTTTGAGGCTGTAGTGGACCATGGCTATGCCCATGAATAGCTCTGCACTCCAGCCTGGGCAACATAGCAAGACCCTGCCTCTCTCTCTCTTTCTTTCTCTCTCTCTCTCTCTCTCACACACACACACACACGCACACACACACACGCTTTACATGTAAATGAAAGGAAACTAAATGATTATTTACTTGGTTTGTCATCATCAATAGTTGTTTTTATTGAGGAAGTTAAAGAGTTCTGGATTATGCAGAGGTAACAGTGGAATACACCAGAAAGTAATAAAGAATAATAAAGTAATAAAGAAGATTTCACCTGTAAGGCGAAATACTGATTTGTTTTCTCTAGGCGTTGTTAGAGAGAGAAGTGAGGAGCTCTGGGACTATTCATTTCAGTGGTTTCCTGAGTTTCTACCTTTCTTTCCTTTCACCTGCTCCACCACGTTCCTTCCGCAGTGGATGTAAAGCTGGATCCCGCCACGGCGCACCCGAGTCTGCTCTTGACCGCCGACCTGCGCAGTGTGCAGGATGGAGAACTATGGAGGGATGTCCCCAACAACCCTGAGCGATTTGACACGTGGCCCTGCATCCTGGGTTTGCAGAGCTTCTCATCTGGGAGGCATTACTGGGAGGTTCTGGTGGAAGAAAGAGCAGAGTGGGGTTTAGGGGTCTGTCAAGACACGCTGCCGAGAAAGGGGGAAACCACACCGTCTCCTGAGAACGGGGTCTGGGCCCTGTGGCTGCTGAAAGGGAATGAGTACATGGTCCTTGCCTCCTCATCGGTGCCTCTTCTCCTACTGGAAAGTCCTCGCTGCATTGGGATATTCTTGGACTATGAAGCCGGTGAAATCTCATTCTACGACGTCACCAATGGATCTTATATCTACACATTCAACCAACTCTTCTCTGGTCTTCTTCGGCCTTACTTTTTCATCTGCGATGCAACTCCTCTTATCTTGCCACCCATGACAGTAGCAGAGTCGGGAAATTGGGCATCCAGGGATCATTTAGATCCTGCTTCTGATGTAAGAGATGATCATCTCTAAAATTCTGTTCCCAAGATGCAGTCCCAGCCTAGCAAACGTTCCTGGAGTGGGGTGAAGGATATCAATATACTAAGTTTTAACAGATACCCCCATTTAGGTCAGCACTTGATTCCTTGTTGCTGCAAAATATTTCCATGGGACAAAAGAGGGAATACGCAATATTTGCATATGGGAAGATTATAGAGCATAATAATTTTATAAATGCAGCAATCTCAACCTCTATTTCTAGATCACATTTTCTTGATGAGTCTTCCTTCAAATTAATGACCTTGGATTACATAAGGATTTCTATACCTGCATTATAATTTGTTATTCCTTTCAACATCCTTGTATTCCAAGTCTTCCATATAAGAATTAGACATGGCAATTCCTAAACTGATTCAGAATGGTCTGATACTATTCCAGTATCACATCCATACTTCTGTTTCTCCTCCTTTTCCTGATTTTTCTTCTCATTCTCTCCTTCCCCCCTCTATCTCTTGTTCCCTGTCACTCTCTCTCTCTGTCTCTCTCTTGTTCCTTATTTTTTGTTTCTTACCTCTTACTGTTTAACCTGTTGCTTCCTTCTAGATTAATACATTTAGAGCCATTCCTTTATACAGTCACATTTCCTATGACTTTACTCAGTTACTTTTAAAGTCCTTTTTATTCTGGGACTGATTTTTAAGAATTACAAAGCTCATTCCTCTGAATCTAATATCACTGACTGCTAGACTTTTTCCTTTTCTTTGGATACCCTTTAGGAATTTATCAGAATTTTCATTCAACTCGTTCTTTAACGTAGATATTTATTAGTTTTAAGACCTTAAGGCTGGGCGCAGTGACTCATGCCTGTAATCCCAGCACTTTGGGAGGCTGAGGTGGGTGGATCACAAGCTCAGGAGTTCGAGACCAGCCTGGCCAATAGGTAAAACTCTGTCTCTACTTAAAAAAAAAAAAATACAAAAATTAGCTGGGTGTGGTGGCAGGAGCCTGTAATCCCAGCTATTTGGGAGGCTGAGACAGGAGAATTGCTTGAACCCTGGAGGCAGAGGTTGCAGTGAGCCGAGATCGTACCACTGTACTCCAGCCCAGTGCGAGACTCCGTCTCAAAAAAAAAAAAAAAAAAAAAAAAAAGACCTCAAACAACACTTCTCTCTCTCTCTTTTAGCTGCTTGTTATGGTTCCCATATGTGGAACAATTGTACTGGCCTCGCAGTGGTATGGTAAATATTTAAGGTCATATTTGATATTGCTGGTTTGAATTCAGCTTTTCCATTTAAATACATTATAATAATGATGAAATGATGATAATATTTAACTTATTTTTAAAGTATATTCTATACCTTTCCAACAGAAGTTTTAAAAGTCATTTAAGGCTAACCTTGCTGCCTTCTTTGTATCACTGTCTTCTAATAATTGTTATGGCCGGGCGCGGTGGCTCATGCCTGTAATCCCAGCACTTTGGGAGGCCGAGGCAGGCGGATCACGAGGTCAGGAGATCGAGACCACGGTGAAACCCCGTCTCTACTAAAAAAATACAAAAAATTAGCCGGGCGTGGTGGTGGCGCCTGTAGTCCCAGCTACTTGGGAGGCTGAGGCAGGAGAATGGCGTGAACCCAGGAGGCGGAGTTTGCAGTGAGCTGAGATGGCGCCACTGCACTCCAGTCTGGGCGAAGAGCGAGACTCCGTCTCAAAAATAATAATAATAATAATAATAATAATAAATAATAGTTATACAAATACTAAAATGTTTAAATGGTAACCAAATATTAATTAATGGCAAATTATTTCACATTATCTGACAATAATCTGCAGAAGGTTTAATTTTCCTCCTCAATTTGAAGTTCAAGATGTTTTTCTCTTCCAGGGAGATTTTTTCGACTGACATCTTTAACTTACCTTCCGATCATATTATTAACGTAGCCTTCTTCCTAGATTTTTAAAATTGATCATGAGCGAACACTTCTACTCTCTGTGTTAGATTTGCAAACAGAGGGAATAACGCATCCTCATGTCCCTCCTCTTGGTGTTCCGCGGGCTGGTGTGCCCTAGCCCTCCCTCGTGCAAGGTCTGTGTAGGGAAGGTGGCCTTCGGCTCAGCCACAGCATCCCTTCCCCCAGGGATCAGGAGGGTGGCCTGAGATACCCCTTCCATGGGGCACCACCCATTCACTGAGACGGGGAAACCCTGGGTGGGAGGGAGAACACGTCCATGTGTCTTCTACTCTCTCCATAGAGTGGAACGAGAGGCCCAGGAGTATCCATTTCCCACCGTGTAGCCCAGTACTCTGGTCTCACTGTCTCTGCTGAATGCTGTCTCACTGTGCATTTTATTATGGTTTATGTCAGTCAGTAGACCTATGTGAGTCTTCATCTCTTGCATTCTTAGGTTCACAGTTTTGTGTGTCTCCTGTAATGACCTCTTTCCCTTTCCAACTCCTGAAAGGTTTCCACTATTTCCTCTGGAACTTTGTTTCATTACCAGCAAAATCCTCTACATCCATACCCATTTCCTGGCTTTCCCTCTCCTTTCCTCTGAATGCGTCTTTTATATTCAGCTGTCCACTTGACATTAAAATAGACACTTTAAACTCAATTTGCCTAAAACTTAACCACAAATTTCTCCCCAAGTCTCTTCCTAACTGCAACCACAAAAACCACAGGCTGCTCCCTGTCACTGGGTGGCAGCTCCATTCTTCTGATTGCTTAGGCCAGGCGTCCAACTGAGTGCTTTCTTGACTTCTGCAGCCCACATCCAGTCCATCAGCAAGCCCTGTTGGTCCTACCTTCAGAATATGTCTGGCGTTCAGTTGTCCTGGCCACCCTGCTGCTGTAACCATGGTCGGAACTCCATCCTGCCACTCTGGATTATGACTTTCGTTTCCTCACAGTGGTCCTGCTTGAGCTCTAGGCCCTTCCACTCCCATTCTCTCTACAGCAGCTGGGCTGATCCTTTTAGCACCCAAGGATATGTTGGCATCACAGTGACCCAGATGGTGATACCATCACAATGATGAGTGAAAGTCAGAATCCTCACAGTGAACCCCCAGGCCCTAGAGGTTCTGAACCCCCATCCCTCCTCTGATTCTCTCTTCCTCCCGCACTTCTCTTTGCATTCTGCTCCAGCTGCCCTGGCCTCATGGCTGGGTTTCCACCAAAGCAGGCGCTTCCCATCATAGGGCCGTTCCCCCCGCTGTGGCTTCTGCTTGAAATTCCCTTTTCCCTGATGTCCCTTGACTCATTATTCCCTTTCTTCCTTTGAGTCTTCTGAGATCCAGCCTCTCAGTGATGCCGTATAACCCTACTCACCCCAGAGCCCGTCCGGAGCTCACCTTTCCAGTTGCCCTTGCTGGGCTCAGTGGAGGCTCTTTGTTCCCCATAGAGTACGTGTCATCTAGTGTACTATATTGTTCTCTTATTTATTAGGCTTGTTTTATTTATTTATTTATGTTTTGCCTTTTGTGCTAAATGTAAACACCCCAAGCGGTGGTATCTTTGTCTCTTGACAATGATACATTCAGTGTTTCTCAAGCACCTCCAATGCTGGTTTGTTATCAATCTGTATTTTTTGAATAAATAAATGATTGACTATCTGGAGAGCAAAATTGATGGACCTGAAAATGTTGTGTGAGATGTAACATAGTATACTGATATAACAATAATAATTGGCCAATAAAGTTTAATTCCAAGTGCTAAATTAGTAAAATTTTGGGGATAGAGAAAAATTGAGCAGAAGACTTAAGTTTGTAAACATGATGGATTTCGTGACCTGATAACTTGGCATGTCCAGGCCTAGTCCCATTGAACCCCCTGTGGTTTTGATTCCCCGTGACATCACAGTGACACCTTTGCATTATGCTTTGTCTCGTACTCCATAAGCCACCTCGCAAAATGGTATCGTCACTAAAAATGTGAGGAACTTTCTATAAACTTACCTAGACTAGAAGCTTTAAAAAAAAAAAAATTTCATGTTTTATGTACCTTTCTTTACCTAAACAATATGGTGCATCCATGCCATCTAGAAATGGGGTGTCTTGGGTCTGCTCTCCTCATCACTTCCCTATTACTGTGCATTTCTCTGTTATATACATTGGGCTTTTTTTTCTATCTCAAATCATAATTTTTTTCTTTCTGACATATCCTTAAGGACTGCTCTGACAATTACCAGTGAAATTCTTTTCTTCTCTGTAAAAATGAACACCAACCCTGGTAGAGCACAGTGGCTCCCGCCTGTAATCCAAACACTTTGGGGACTGAGGTGGGAGGATTGCTTGAGACCAGAAGTTTGAGACCAGCTGGGCAACAAAGCAAGACCTGGTCTCTACAAAAAAATATAAATTAGCCAGATATGGTGGTGCAGACCTGTAGTCCCAGCCACTTGGGAGGGGCTTGAGCCCAGGATTTCAACTGCAGTGAGCCAAGATCACACCACTGCACTCCAGCCTGAGTGACAGAGTGAGACCCTGTCTCTTGAAAAAGAGAAAACTAAAAGAGAAAGTCCCCAACATGAGCTTCTAGCCTTTTCTAAGCTATAACCCTCCAGAACTCTGTCTACGTATCCAGAAGACTGGGTAATTTATTCTAAGAACTAATCAGCTCAGTAACTCCCTGATATGGTTTGGCTTTGTGTCCCCACCCAAATCTCATGCTCAATTATAATCCCCAGTGTTGAAGGTGGGCCTGCTGGGAGGTGATTGGATCATGGGGCAGTTTCTCATGGTTTAACACCATCTCTCTTGGATGAGTTGTTGTGAAATCTGGATGTTTAAAAGTGGGTGGCCCCCCAACTTTCTCTTGCCCCTGCTTTCGCCATGTAAGGCAGCAGTTCCCACTTTGCCTTCTGCCATGAGTAAAAGCTCCCTGAGGCCTCCTGGAAGCAGATGCTGCCTTGCCTCCTGCACAGCCTGTGGAACCGTGAGCCAACTAAACCTCTTTTCTTCATAAATTTCCCGGTTTCAGATATTTATAGCAGTGTGAGAACAGGCTAATATACCCCCAGGTCCCCCTCCTCCAAATCAGGTGACTGGTTTATCAATTTAATAAACTTTTTAATTTTTTTTTTTGAGATGGAGTCTCATTTTGTTGCCCCAGCTGGAGTGCAGTGGCATGATCTCGGCTCACTGCAACCTACACCTCCCAGGTTCAAGCGATTCTCCTGCTTCAGCCTCCCGAGTAGCTGGGATGATAGGCAGTCACCACCACACCCAGCTAATTTTTGTGTTTTTAGTAGAGAGGGGGTTTTACCATGTTGGCCATGCTGGTGGTCTTGAACTCCTGACTGCAGGTGATCCGCCCGCCTCAGCCTCCCAAAGTGCTGGGATTACAGGTGTGAGCAACTGTGCCCGGCCTTAAACACATTTTTCTAGCATGTTGAGAAGGCCCTGAGTGAAGAGGACTGGGAGGAGGGGATACACGGAGCGATCAGGAGTGGGAAGTAAAATAACCTCCTTAGCCAACGGAAGTAATGGAAAGCACTTAGACTGGTGATTGCAACCCCTAGAACCCCAGAGGTCCGAGAACTGGGAACACTGGGATCTAGTCAACCTGTGTGCCCTCCAAGCACCGACTCCTTGGTGCATGCTTTCTCTGTGCTTCTGGGGCCTTCTGTGGTCTGCTTTTCTATTACACAGGGAAGAAGAAAGGATGCTGGGCCTGCATATGTGTACCACACATATTCTACGAATTCTACACATTCACTTATGTAGAATAGTCTCTTTACTCTCTAATTCTCTGACTACATCTACCTAAAAGTACCCAGTCAAATTGATACGTTTCTTAGTTAATTGACTGTAAGTCTGATTTTTTTCTGACGTTGCTTGGCTAAATCTGTATATTTATTTATTTTATTTAAAAATTTCAGCATTGTGATGTCATTTTTGCCTTTACAAGAGCGTTCAAACATAGTTACATATACACAATCTAAGTAATGATACTTGCTCAATTTCCTTACTAGTTTTTGAAACTAAAGTATAAACCTATGTATGCTAACATCTTCCTTTCAAATCAAAAAGTAAAAATAAGGCTAGGCGCAGTGGCTCACATCTGTAATCCCAGCACTTTGGGAGGCCAACAAGGGTGGATCATCTGATGTCAGGAGTTCGAGACCGGCCTGGCCCCCATGGTGAAACCTCATCTCTACTAAAAATACAAAAATTAGCCAGGCATGGTGGCTGGTGCCCATAATCCCAGATATGAGGGAGACTGAGGCAGGAGAATTGCTTGAACCTGGGGGGCGGAGGTTGCAAGTTGCAGAGATAGCAGCACTTCACTCCAGCCTGGGCGAAAGAGCGAAACTCCATCTCAAAATAAATAAATAAATAAATAAATAAACAGGCCACCCTATGGCTCCTTAATGTATGTAATAATATACTTTATATGTTTTTTTTCACTATCTAGGACAATGGGTTCTTTCTTTTATACATAAAAGTATTAGTAAAAAGAAGATGTCAAAATATTTTGGCCCTATTTTCATCAGATATAAGGAGAAAGAAAAAAACAAATGCATGATTCTGTTCTAGGTAGGATGGGACCAATTATGCCTCAGCTGTTTTCTTAGCCATATAATGATTCTTGGGAACAGGGGAGGGGAGCAAATGGCTCACTGGTATTTATGTTTTTAGAACAACAGTGGATTGAGTTCCCTAATTTTACTTACGTGAGGCAGTAAATTCTTTTTATATCAAGGGACAAATTCTCATGGTCCTCATTTTCTCTCGGGACCTGACGGGAGATGGGGCAATTTGATGTGGTGCAGGCCTCTGCCTCAGTGGACGTGCTAGTGATCCCTGTGGCTATGATGTTTCCCCAGCGGTTTGAGATGCTGATGAACCCAGGCCGCCATCAGGGTCCGTCTCCAGTCTTCCCTCAGCAGAGCTGCAACACCGTGTAAATGCAGTAAACCCGTATTAATAAATACTGTGGGCCACTGCATTTATAAGGAATGGGCCAAGCCTGAGAGAGGCACTTGGATTTCCTTACCCTGGCTACAGCACCTGTGTGCGCCCAAGAGGGTACAAGGCATTCCGAGATCTGACTGAGGCCCTCCGGCTCCGTCTGTGCTCCTGCATCCTCTCAGTGTTGCCTAGCAGCATACAAGCAAAAATGGTGAGTGGGTTTCTGCATTGAGGAACTCAGCTCAGAGGTCTGCACTTCTAGGTTGGTTTGTTAAATAAAGAAGCCACAGGGAGTGCCTCAAGGGTTAGAAAAATCTCAAGAACACACTCGTTGCTCTTAGAACGTTTATAAATTATGACAGGCCGGGCGCGGTGGCTCACGGCTGTAATCTCAGCACTTTAGGAGGCTGAGGCGGGCGGATCATGAGGTCAGGAGATCAAGACCATCCTGGCCAACATGGTGAAACCCCGTCTCTACTAAAATTACAAAAAATTAGCCGGGCGAGGTGGCGGTGCCTGTGGTCCCAGCTACTCGGGAGGCTGAGGCAGGAGAATGGTGTGAACTTGGGAGGCGGAGCTTGCAGTGAGCCCAGATCGCACCATTGCACTCCAGCCTGGGCAACAGAGCGAGACTCCGTCTCAAAAAAAAAAAAAAAAGTGAATTATGACAGACACACCAACACACAAAGATACACAGTCAGCACTTACATCACAACTCATTGTTTAATTATAACAAAGCAATACATCTACCAATGCGAAATTATTATTATTACCATTATTATTATTATTTTGAGATGCAGTTTCGCTCTGTTGCCCAGGCTGGAGTACAATGGTGTGATCTCGGCTCACTATAACCTCTGCCTCCTGGGTTCAAGTGATTCTCCTGCCTTAGCCTCCCGAGTAGCTGGGATTACAGACACCCACTACCTTGCCCAGCTGATTTTTTTTTTTGTATTTTTAGTAGAGACAGGTTTTCTCCATGTTGGTCAGGATGGTCTTGAACTCCTGACCTCAGGTGATCCGCCCGCCTCAACCTCCCAAAGTGCTGGGATTACAGGCGTGGGCCACCGCACCCGGCCTAATGAGAGTCTTCTTTAAACTCCACTTCACTTTCTAAAAGAGAGTCTTTTTTCGGCGGGGGGGGGAGAGGACAGGGTCTCACTCTGTCGCCCAGGCTGGGGTGCCAGTGGCATGATCATAGCTCACTGCAGCCTTGACCTCCTGGGCCCATTGATCGCCCTGTCTCAGTCTCCTGAGTAGCTGGCACCGTACATTTGTGCGACCATGTCGGGCTAATGTTTAATTTTGACTTTTGTACAGATGGGGTCTCCCCATGTTGCCCAAGCTAGAAATGAGCCTTTTAAACAATTTCAAACCGTACATCCAGATATCCGTTCTATCTGAATACAAACACAGTCATGTGTTGCTTAACGATGGGGATATGTTCTGAGAAATGCGTCATTAGGTGATTTTGTCATTGTGTGAGCATCACAGAATGTGCTTACACAAACCCAGATGGTGTGTCCTACCACAAGCCTAGGCCATAAGTGTGTGGTATAGCTCGTCACTCCCAGGCTACAAACGAGTACGGCATGGTCCTGTACTGAATACTGAAGACAGCTGTAACACACTGGTAAGTATTTGTGTCTCTAAACATAGAAAAGGCACAGTAAAAATACTGTATAAAATACAAAAAAAGGTAAC